AGTCAATTGAAGCTAGACCACTATGGAAAACCTGGGAGCACTGGAAGGCAGTTTTCTCCTAGTATAAGAATACTCGGCAGTGTGCATCCAGGTATTTCCTGGAGTTCTAGTGAGAAGCAGCGACCACTGGAGTGTCAACCGGGTCTATTGTGAGATAGTAACTCACTGAAGACAATGATGGACGTTGGCGCAACTTCGTGGATTAGCTGAAGTTGGACATTAACACCACTGGATACCGACTAGCTCAGTGAGCTAGAGGTTAAGCGTTCGCGCGCGAGACTGATAGGTCGTGGGTTCAAATTTCGTGGGGTAGGATTCCGGATGCACATTGCTGAAGAGTCCTACAATAAGACAAAATGCCCGTCCAATGCTTCCAGATTTCCCATGGTGTTCTAGCCTCAATTGATTCATAATCTCGACTATTCGAATTACTATTATATCCACAAAATCCTTTCTGATATCAAATTAATTAAGTCAAAATATTCATATCAATGGAAGTAAACAATTAAAACATAGAAAGAATATAGAATTCAAAAGCAACTTATAAAGAATTAAAGAACCTATATGAAAAGTAGGAAATATGATATTGATAAATAAAATCTAGTAGAAAAGGATTAAGAAGAGATACATTTCAACAACATTCTAAATGTATAACTTGATATCTTCAACTCTATAGATTATGATTGTTAGATAGATTTAATTGGATGCAGAAGGTCTGTACCAGTTAATACACACCATTGAGTTGAGTAATCTATAAACTCTATAAAATAACAAAGTAAATCTATCATTAAATTCACTTGGTGTCGTTTTATTTGAATCTTCCCATTGTTACTGAGTTCAAGTCCTAGAATGAACATCAACTCTGAGATTCAGGTACACCCAGCTGACGAGTCCCAAATAGGACGAAAAGCACTTTGTCCTGGATTTCACTACTAACCACTATCCATCTTTGCATACAGATCTATCACTGCTTCACATTATATTTCTTAATCACACTTAGCCAACAGTCAGTATTATTGATCAACTAAATTAATCAATGAATATCTACAGCCCTAATTAGCCCATTTTCTGTCAAAATACAGAAATATTATTTCATTCATGGTATAACTATCGGTTAAAATATACATTTGATTAAAGACAATCATTGGACAGCTATATCTCATTGTTTTTAATTGTATCAACAAATGAACAATTCATCAAACATACAATTGCACAATCCTTTTGTTCTCAGTATGGGGTTGTGAGAATTATTATGTTTTTGATTGAGATCATGAACCGATTCATTTTAGACTACCATTGAAAACCTGGAAGCATTAAACGGCCGTTTCGTCCTAGTGTGAGACTCCTCAGAAGTGCGTAACCACGATCCCGCCGAAAGGATTCGAAGCTAGGGCCTTCGGCCTCGCGTGTGAACGCCTAACCTCTAGATCACTTAGCTGGCCGGCATCCAACGGTGGTAATGTCATTTTATTCGCCTAAAACTAAGTGTTAAACGCGATTGCAATTTACAATTCCATTTACAAACATAAATTTCTTTCAATTCCAATAGATTACACCTACACCTTTTTATCATTTAAAGATAGTGAACTATATAAAGGAGTGAATTATATAAGATCATTCTATTTTCAATACAACGATTAAATAAAATAATACCAGGACTTTTGATGACTTCATAGAGAATTAAACTAGGCATCAAAATGAATAGATAAACAATTCGCACAGCTTTAAATGTCATTTACTATTTGACGCTACTTTGGATGAAAAATATTGGCTATAGTGTTATAGTGTTACTGATACACACATCTGGGTAGATATTGAAAGACTACACTTTCCTGTTATGATGCTAATCGATATGTGTTTGATCTGTCAACAAGAGTTTTATTTATAAATTTTTGTATCCCTCGTCCACTATTTCGTTTATAGTATAGCGTTGCCATAAACACGAATAAACATACGCTCCGACCTGAATAATTAACGTTAAGCTGACGCAAGCTCTACTCCTGTTGGTTCGCTATCTGCATTGAATACAACGAAAAGTCAACAATCAGCTTCTAGCACATTTATTTTAAGCACACGTGGGCTTGTAAACAAACACACTGAACTGCAAGCACACCAAAAATACAGAAAATCACAACAGGAAACAAACAAGCCAAAACTGGCTGTGAATAGGGTAAGCTCTGAACAATTGGTTGACAATAAAATAAAAACAATTAGCCTAATAAAATCATCAATATAGATTGACTGTAATTGATCAGTCCTAGCAATTATACAATAAGAACATATATACATATATAACAATAATATTAGTCCACAGAGTAGATCCCAGTGTTACTCATTTTTTCAATCATCGTTCTGATACGTGATATGATCGAAAGACCAAGCCATTGAGTAAAGAGAGACACAGATAAGGGATATTCTAACTTCAAATGAAACATACTCCCAGGTATCAATGGCCATCAAGAGCAATGACATGAAATGAAATTGGTGATAGATCACAAAAAACAAGTGAAATAAGATTGTGAAGTTAAACCAACCAATGTGAATTATAGGAAAAGTTGACGATTTTATGCTTATTACTAAACAATTATATAGTAGTCTGAGTTTTTTATAGTTGATCAAACAAAAAAGGAGTTTTTTATTGTATGACGTGACAAATAAGAAAGCCCAGATATTCAAGCAGGACACCTTGGTTATTACTGGTCCAAAGACCGGGTAAAACAGGGAGAGTGGGTATGGGGTCAGCAAACCCAGAAAACCATAGATACAGGAGAGATGCTGCTCTGCTTTGATCACGAAAGAAAAAATGCTCCACACACTCAAGGAGTTATTCTAATGCTGTCCAAACAAGCACGGAAAGCACTTATACGATGGGAATCTCATTAACCCACGATCATCAAAGCATCTTTCAAAACATTGAACGATGGAAGCACAATCAGTGTTATTCAAAGTTATGCACATAAAATTGATAGCAACGATAACGATAAAAATCAGTTTTACGACAGACTGCAATCGATCACAGAGAACTGTTCAAGAAACGACCTGACCATCCTGATGGGAGACATAAACGCCAAAGTAAAAATGGACAACACCTGACATGAAGATATCATGAGACGACATGCAATGACCGCGAGAAACAAATGAGAATGGTGACACATTTGCAAATCTATATGCATTCAACAAAGTGGTTATAGGAGGCACAACATTCACACACAAATGCGTACACAAAGATACGTGAGTCTGACCGTATCACACTACACATAACCAGATCGACCACTTTTGCATCACTAAAAATAACACAACATCAATGGAACACGTGACAACCAGGAGAAGAGCTCGCATAGCTTCAGATCACCACCTCGTGGTTGCTAACATCAAAATGAAGCTAAAGAAACACTGGACAACTCCACAAACAGCATTACAAAGGTTCAATACAGTATTCCTTCGATATACTCACAAACTCAACCAATTCAATATAGCTCTCAACAACACGTTACAAACCCTACAAAATCTACTCAAAAAAGAACAAACTACTACGGACGACAATTCGAAAGCAATTGAAGAAGCGCTAACTTCAACATGACAGGAGGTGCTGGACCTCAACAAGCATCATCATCATCATTAAGAATGGATCTCTATCGAAACACTGCACAACATTCAACAAAGGAACAACAAAAAGACAGCAATCAACAACACTAGAACAAAAACAGAGAAAGACAAGGCATAAACTGAATACACTGAAGCAAACAAACAAGTGAAGAGGAGCATTAGAGCTGGCAAGCGGAAAAACGACAAACACAGACAGCCGAAAAAGCTGCAACAGAAGGAAATATCAAACAACTATATGATACAACGAAGGAAATGACAAGGAATTATAGTAAACCAGAGAGACGGATTAAGGACAAATAAGATGAGCTAATCACTGAGATTCAAGAACAGATGGGTAGAAAACTTTGAAGAACTCTTGAATAGACAACCTTCATTAACTCCACCGGACATCGAAGCAGCACACACAGATCTCCTTATAGATATCACTCCATCGACGATTGACCTCCACATCTCAGGGAAAGCAAGGAAAACAATTGGGAGCTTGAATGAAGCCAGACGATTTGGACTCTGTAGATGTAAATGCGATGATTGGCAAAGCAAGAGCCTCATCCCTACAGTTGAAGAATATACGGAATTCAAAACATCTATCTGCAAGCCAACATCAAAGCCACAATCCTCAATATGAACGTCAACACAATTCTACTGTACAGAGCTGAATTTTCTAGAACTACTATAACCATCATCAAAAAGGTTCAATCATTTACAAACACTTGTCTACACAAGATACTCAATATCCGTAGCCCGAATAACATCAACAATAGCCTACTATGGGAGAGAACAAACCAACACCCAACTAAAGAGGAAATTAAGAGAAGACCTTGGAAGTGGATAGGACATAACATTGAAGAAATCATCAAACTGCATCACGAAGCAAGCGTTAACTTGGAATCCTGACAAGTAACGAAAAAGAGGAAGCTCAAAGAACACACCGCGTTGGAAATCGAAAGCAGACATCAAAAGAATGAATAGTAACTGGTAAAAACTGGAAAGAATTGTTGAGGACAGAGTAAGATAGAGAATGCTATTGTTGGGCAGCCTATGTTCCTCCATGAGGGGTAACAGGAGTAATTAAGTAGTAAAATACAATATAGTTTATAAGCTGCATTCAAAATCGAGCGATATTTCAGTTATATAAATACAATGTAGCATTACCAGGGTTCTTAAATCAAACTAAGTAGATCTAAGTTAAGATCTTTGATCAATAGTTTATAAAGTAACTGTGATTGAATCACCAAGTTATTGCTATACATTACTTACTTACTTACGCCTGTTACTTCCTCGTGAAGGAGCATTGCTACATATGTACAACATGAAGCAAACATACGATGAATTATCAATAGTATAATAGATATTCATAGATATTTAGAGGGAGAGAGAGATAAAACAAAACTTACAGTATATAAAGTACGTAAATCAATTGGATACTTTATTAATTCTTTATAGTTTTTAACAATTGTTGAATTTACTGGTTCACGAAAATATCGTGCCTAAATTTAAATGAAAACATCATGAAAAAAAACCAATAATTAATCACTTGGTAACAGAAATATATATTCATGTAATACGACTATTATAACGTATATATCTTGATGAAGTTCTATTCTTTGGATTGGATAGTATAGTTGTGGAGCTTTCATTGTTCTGCTGAACGACATCATTAGTACAAACTTCATCAAAAATTGAAATTCTCAATGAAACGACTAGAAACTAATCATTTTATTTATATTGGCAAGTACTTCTAAATGAGGATGCCCCCAAATGCCTTGGTACGGCCGAGAGTATGGAGAGACAGCTCTCCCTCTCGAAATGCTCTCACATGGTCACGTGTATATAGCCTCAGCCAGAGAAGTCCTACTCACTGCATTCTCATAGCGGGGTGTTGTTTACGAAATTGAGAGAATGAAAAGCGGATATCCAGCGCTTTAACCGGGTTCGTGGACATGGCGAGTCCACTTAGGGGAGTTGGAAAACCCTCATTCCAAATCAATGGTGCACATGAGCTCCAGGATCTTGAAGGAACAAATGGTGTATGAACCAATCGTTAGTCACCGGCTACCATGGGACTGCATCTCCTTACGATGCTCTACTGCCTTGTGGATCAGACCTTTAGGTGGAAGGCTCTGGGTTTGACCTTCTAAGAAAACCACCTCCATTGGTTTGGGCACCCGAGCAGTATAACAACCCTCACACAAATCAAATGAGATTTGTATGGCGCGCATGTATTTGGTGCCTCCTTGCACCAATATCTATATGTTAAAATAAGTAAATAAATGAGAATGGATCCATAAATCGATGATCAACAAATTCCCGGGTATTTATTTACTTGATATCACAATTCATGACAATCATTCAATTTTGTTATAACTAACTAAATGATTCTTGATTTGCTTTATCAATTAGGTCTAGAAGTTCAACAAATAGTCTGAGAACTCTGTTTTGTTCTAGTAGCTGACTGACTAACTGACTGAGTTCACAATATCTAGACAATGAACATCAACAATTGAACTGTGAATGTACCAATGAGAACAATCAAACACAACTAGATGACTCCATACACAATTGAAGGATTAAAAACTTACAAAGCATGAACTGAATAAAATTATCGAGTATTTTATCAATAATTCTAACTTTAAAAAGATAATGTTTGTGAAATACTGAGCTTTAATTAACACAATTACCTCAGTAAAATTGGTTTCAGTGTACAAAAGATGATCCTCAATATAATTTATTCATTTATTTTAACACATAGATATTGGTACAAGGAGGCACCAAATACATATGCGCCACACAAATCTCATTTGATTTGTGTGAGGGTTGTTATACTGCTCGGGTGCCCAAACCAATGGAGGTGGTTTTCTTAGAAGGTCAAACCCAGAGCCTTCCACCTAAAGGTCTGATCCACAAGGCAGTAGAGCATCGTAAGGAGATGCAGTCCCATGGTAGCCAGTGACCAATGAATGGTTCATACGCCATTTGTTCCTTCAGGATACTGGAGTTCATGTGCATCATTGGTCTGGAATCATGGTTTTCCAACTCCCCTAGGTGGACTCTTCGTGGCCACTAAACCGGTTAAAGCGCCGTACATTCGCTTTTCTTCCTCTCAATTTCGTAAACAACACCCCCGCCGCGGGAAGGCAGTGAGCAGGACTTCCCTGGCTCAATATAATAAACGAAGTAAGACAAATATTCAACATATGTCATCAATTGGATACAACAGTTTGTATGTTTATCCAAAACAATATAGAATGAAAGGATAGAAGGATAAGTATCTACGTGTTTCATTGAATATATCTTAGTAACTTTGACTTTTGAAAGTAAAACAGGCTGCAGACTATCGTGGGGGAATGCTTCAGAAAAGACCTGGTTATCTTGGCGGGGAACCTGAATGTCGAGATCGGTATGGACAGCACATGGTACGAACGAATCATGTGGCGATATGGACTGGGAAAATAGAACAAGAATCGTGAAAGACTGGAAAATCTATGGACTTTTAACACGGTCAAAGTTGGCACCATTTTCCCTCAAAAGCGCATAAATAAAGCCTCATAGGTTTCACCGAGCTACACTAAAGAGAACCAGATCGAGGAAATTCCATGAAGGATGTGAGAATAAAGAGAAAAGCTGATACAACTTCAGATCACCACTTGATGCTGACCGGGATTAAATTGAAGCTAAAGAAGCAGTGGATAACTGGGAAAACAGCATTACAAAGGTCTAATACAGTCTTGTTTCGAGATCATAAAAAACGCGGCGAATTCAAAATAGCTCTCAGTAGCCTATTCCAAGCCTTACAAGATCTACTCAAAGAGGAGGAAACCACTATGAAGACCAACCCAAAAAGGGAATGAAGAAGCACTAGCTTCAACATTCCAGGAGGTACTGGAACACATGGAGAACCAGAATAAAGAGTGGATCTTAATTGATACCCTAAGCAAGAGCTAAAACATGAAGAACAAAGAACAACTGTCAAAAACAGCTGAAGAAAAGCAGAGGAAGTAAGGGCACGGGTCGAATACACAGACGCAAACAACAGAGTGAGGAGGAGCATTAGACCCCACCAGTAGAAATACGTCGAAGACATAACAACGACAGTGGAAAATACCGTAAGAAAAGTCAGTATGAAACAACTATACGATACAACGAGGAAACTACCAGGGGAATGCGGTACACCAGAACGATAAGTCAAGAATGAAGGCAAATCAATCACTGAGTCTCCAGAACAGCAGAACAGGTAGGTAGGCTGGATTTCGTAAGGATCGATAGTATATAGACCATATCGGGATACTATGAATCATTGTTGAGGACCCAATTCAATGGGACTCATCATCATACATCAACATACTTGACTACGAGAAAGCATTTGACAGGAAACATAGAAACAACGCGTAGAATCTTCTTCGATATTATAGATAACCTGAGATTATCACCATTATATGGAACTCTTATGGGGGACTTGGCTCCAAAGTCGTGGATGAAGGATAACTCATCGATGCATTACGAATGAGGACTAATGCTAATGAGACTGCCTATACTAACCTCTCTTCATTCTTTTGGTGATTGGTTGGATCATGTAGACCTCCATATATTAAGGGAAGCACAGAATGCAGAAGACAGCTTGGACGTCATTAGACGATTTGCACTTCACACAAAACCTTACTCTCCTATCGCATACACACCAACAAATGCATATGAAGACAGTCGAGTGTAGTAGCAGTAGACCTCGACATACGCAATAGAAAAGTAAGATCCTGAAATACAACAATGCGTACACCAACTAAATCACACTTAATGGTGAAGCTTTGAACGAAGTGGAAGCTTTTACGTTCCTGGACAACATTGTCTATAAACAAGGAAGATATAAAGGCACGGATCGATAAAAAGAAGGAGAGCATTCATACGATTGAAGAGTATATATGGAACTGCAAAGAACTGTCATCCGACATCAGAGTCAGGGTTTTCCCAATAAACTTTCAAACAGTTCTATTGCACAAAGGTGAAACTCGGAGAACTACAACTACAATCTCCGGAACAGTAGAGATGTTTATAAACTATTATCTACCCAAAGTACTTCAAACCCAGTGACAAGAGACCATCAGCAGTATCCCACCCCGGGATAGAACAAACCAGCTGCCAGTTGGGATTAAGAAATGGTGGTGATGTACAGAATACACTGTGGGGAAACCATTAAACTATCCTACAAGCCAAGCCCTAACCTGGGACTCTAAGTGCTAAAGGAGAAGAGTTAGGCCAAATGAATGAATAGCGCTTGGTAATAACTGGAAAGGAGAGCCGAGGACAAAGATGCTTGGAGATCTCTGGTAGGCGAAAAGTGCCTCAAGACGGGAAGCATGTTTAAGTAGTAAGCAGTACTAATATACAACGTCTAAAACGAGTATTACACTTCAGGAACTCCGTAGCTACAGATATGGCTCAAACTAATAGCCAATAAAATCATGACTAGAAAAATGTTCTGATCTGTCCACTTCTGCCATCATTCCAACTTTTTTGAATGTAGTTATGAAATATTTATCAACGTATTGAGAATTCCCAAATTTTATTTCTTATAGTTTGGGTATATTATTTGACAAGAACGGTGGCTTAGTTGAGCACAACTAGGAAACAGATTCGAACAATGTTTTACCCACTTTGGTCCATGAAGCGAAGTAACATAGAATCCGATAAATGCCAATCAGTTAAACATAAGCAACGTTTAAACTAGTACATATGTGGATTGGTTAAAGTTGCCACTACAATGAGATGAAATTACCAAGACGAATCTCAAAGAAGTAGGGATGAACAGAGTATCAGTAATAGAAAAGATTAGGTACAGATAATACAATTCAAGAAGAATTCATAGGATAGAAATTATAGGATAATTTTAAAACTTAAGATCTAAGGGAAGGTAAAGAGTGAAAGTATTAGTGCCATCACAATCGATTTTGAGCCATGTCACACAACATATCCCTACTATCGCTTACAACAACCACGCAGACACATGACTATCGACCTCGCCCGCGAACGTTTAACTTCAAGTGCAGTGAGCCGGGAAGCAATGGTGATCAATGTACGATACTGAGTGGCAATCTTTAATTACCTTCGGCAGATAGCTTCACCATAAACACGGTTTAACTTCTCTGGTCGCGGCCTATCTCTGAAACTCTCCTCTCGAAGATAGTCATCAGTGAGTGCATATGTTTAAACATGTACGTTTGTTCAAAGTAAAATATATAGTGCAGTCAATGAGGATCAACTGGACCCACACTACGATTTGCTAAACTAATAACATTATCAAATGATATTATCTTAAATAACCAAGGAGTATATTTCTCTCTTTTTTCACATAACTGAATAGAATGTAAAGTTCGAACCAGTTGCAACTTATGATCAAGGATATTAGATGAAAAAGAGAGAACTCGGTCACAATGGCACCGTTCCATTGAGTTTGATGTCATTCCATACTTTTCATTCTTCAATCTCATTTGTTCCTTTGAGTCTATACCTGTGATATTTAGATTTCCATTGCAGTTGAAGATATTTTCTCTTTTGTGTTTTTGAACTTGTTAGATTTCTCTCTTACTATGCGGATGTGATGTGTGACAACTTAAAATAATACATATTACCGCCAAATCCTATGTTGATGATGAATGACTAATTGATGGAATAATATGCACGAACGATGTATAGGTGATATATATATTGATGGAAATCGATAAAGTGTTGATCAAATAAAAACAAGTAGAGCTTAGAAGGAGATAAAAGCGATAGTATTTACAAGAACATATGATAATACAAAGTTGGACAAATGAAAATGAGAAAATTAGATAATGATCAAGATGGAACATTGTCCTTGTAGTTAGGCAGGTTGTTACTACTTGCCAATATCTTTAAGTATATGACAGTGGAAGCGATTCGGTGAACTCACCAACTGTTAATTGGTTCTAGAGGAAGTTTCGTGTGACAGGATAGGAAAGTCAATTTATTGAGTACATTCGCTTGAACCCCATCCTTAGTAGGGTGGAAAGAAAGCAGCTTTTGAAACAATGATCATCCAAGTTAATAACTTTGTTACCATCACAACATCTTAGCATGACAGCAGTAAATGATAAAGAGTTATTCTAAATAAGTTCCTCAACTTTTGACAAACTTTAATATTGCTCAAATATACGATATAAATTCCCGTACTACTCATATAGTTATCATACATATGCATAACTTTTGAATGCCAAAACATGTTTTGATAAACAGAGGGTGTAACATTCATTCATGACAACAGATACGAACCAATTGAACTTGACAACATGGTGAGAATTTATGGATTAAACTATATTAAATCTCATGTACATTGTCCAATTGCCCAAATAGTGAAAAAATATAAGACTAGATTTGAATACATGACATTTAGTTAGAACGACGATCCACCTAGGGGAGTTCGGAAACCCTCATTCCAAACCAATCGTGCACATGGGCTCCAGGATCCTAAAGGAACAAATGGTGTATGAACCAATTGTTAGTCACCGGTTACCATGGAACTGCATCTCTTTACGTTGCTCTACTACCTTGTGGATTAGACATGAAGGTTAAAGGCTCCGGGTGTGGCCCCCTAAGAAAACCACCTCCTTCGATCTAGGCACCCTGACAGTATCACAGCCCACACACAAATCAACTAACTAGTGTGGTGCATATGTATTTGGTACCCCTTTGTACCAATGTTTATGGGTGTAAATAAATAAACAAAATAAATAAAGTATCTAGTTTATAAAAAGATATGCAACTGAACGTTTCATGCAATGAGACGAGTTCTAGTCATGAATTAAGTAGTCAAGTTACAAAAAATAATGATATAATAAGTGCGTTCACACATAGAAGAGTTAAAAAAAAAGGATAGAAATCCTACCCAAGATTGTCTAGATAATCGATCCAAAAGAAAGAATAACATTCGTTGCAATTGATCTTCGGTAATATTACACCATGAATCTAATTGATACAATGAACATTCAGCTAACATAACATCTTGACATTCAGGACAAAGCCATACATCTGGAAAATCTGTTGCACATAAACAAGTTGCATGAAACACTCTTGGACAATAACTACATATAACAACCTAAGTAAATCAGAGGAATTTGAGAGAGAAAGAGAGAGAAAAAAAAACGAAATAATGGATAAATCTCTATGATATGGAATAATCACTAAGTAACGTTTAACAATAACAATAAGGAACGTAAAATATGATCCTATTGGAATTTCACACCCTCTAAAACATTGAAAGTATTGAGAGAAGAGTCAGTGTTTGCGTCACCGAGTACATTCCTACGAATTGGAGACTGAAAGTTGTATTGGCTCTAAACAGTGTAATTCATCAGGATTCAACTGATACCGGATAAATCATTGATATTCTCCCAATTCTTCAAAATTATCAACAGACATAAAAACACAGTCCCCTCGGACTTCATTTAATCACTGTTTCGCCTCCCTCTATGTCTCTTTTTATTGAATCACATCACCAAATAAACTCATACTTGTTTATTCTCAGATATATAAATAGGTAAAAGGCGAAAGATTTATCCGCAAGAAGCACTGGTACGGCCGAGAGTGGGGAGAGTCCGGTCTCCCTCTCGAAATGCTCTCACATGTCCACGCGTATATAGCTTCTGCGAGGGAAATCCTACTCACTGCTTTCTCGTAGCGGGCGTGTTGTTTGCAAAATTAAAAGGACGAAAAGCGAACATCCGGAGCTCTAACCGGTTTAGTAGACACGAAGAATCCACCTAGGGGAGTTGAAAAACCCTGATTCCAAATCAATGGTGCACATGGGCTCCAGTATCCTGAAGGAACAAATGGCGTATGAACTGATTGTTGGTCACCGTCTACCATGTGACTGCATCTCCTTTCGATGCTCCACTGCCTTGTGGATCAGACCTTTAGGTCGAAGGCTCTGGGTTTGACCCTCTAAGAAAACCACCTGCATTGGTTTGGGAACCCGAGCAGTATCACAGCCTTCAAACAAATCAAGTGACTAGTGTGGCGCATATGTATTTGTTACCGCTTTGTACTAATATTTATGTATTCAAATAAATAAATAAATAAATATAGACAGGTATTATTAATAATCTTTGTTATTTTAATTCTGTCATCAATGTCAATTATTCCACTTTGTCATGCCTCAATGTTACACATTCATATACATCAATGGTTGTAGGCAACTGATGAGAAACCATAAAATAAAGTGAATTCATATTATTTTACCTCAATTATTGTTTTGACTTCACTCGAACAGAAGTTAATCAAACAAGATTATATTTTTTAGTAAGATGACGTTTTTAAGGAGTATATACTGTGAATAATTTAAGAACAGAATTCAATGGTTCGTCAGCTGAAGTGAGTTGGTAGCGTATGTTTACTGGAGACTAGACTACGTAGCTGTAGCGTGAATAAGGTAAGCGATGTTGAGAGTGAGTGTGCAACAGTAACTCAACGACGATATCATTTGGATTTATAAATACAAGCTGAATGGAAATGTAAACCCTTAAATCCAAACTCAATTGTTTAGAGATACTATACCCACCCTGCGAAATGTATAGATTGCAGTCAAAGCGAAATTTGCGACTTAATTTTTTAATCACTGTGAATCGCAGGTCCGAAGCTCGGTTTCTCATTTCAGCCCAAAGAAGAACAAATCATTAAACGTTACAAATTGATACTTCGTTACACAAAAGACAGATGATGACAGACTCAGATGATGACTTCATAATTAAAGCATTCAAACATTTGGTTAAATATTAAAATTTCGTTTAACCTAATTTGGTTTCACTTTTTTATGGTTAGAATTACGACTATTTACATATAATAGGCTTTAAGACATACATTCAGTGTGTAACGGTTAGTGATGTTAGTACTTGACTGCCGAAAAGTCAAACTGTTTAATGACGTTTAAAACTGATGTTTAGTACTTTAAAAGTTCAATGTTTTATAATGAGAGATTTTGTGGATATTATAGTAATTTATTCGTTGAATTCGTTAGTTCTAGTGAGAAGTCGTGACCACTGGAGTTCAACTGGGTCACTTGTGAGATAGTAACTCACTGACGACAATGGTGGACAGTCAGTGAGTCACTCAGTAACAACGTAGAACTTCGTACGTACGTACGTATGTACATCAGTTCAAGTTGCCATAACACATTACCGCAGAGATGCAGTTGTCGATTCAAATCCCATAGTGTTAGAGGTAGTAAAATTATAAGCAGTAATCGGAAACATTAGGCTTTGAAGATGTTATTCAAGGAGTGTAATCCAGTGAAATGAATTTCGAAAGAGAAAAAACAAGGGACATGAAGAATTCAGAAGATTAGAATTCGGGAGAACACAAAGAGGGAATGCACCTGAGCCATTGCAAACGATTTTGACCCATGTCATTAAAGATCTCTAACCATCGGTTACTATCGCCTCGCGGACCCTAACTAAGTAGTTTACACATACCAATATGGCTCAGTCCTATTGTCAGGGTCTTTATGGATTTGGGCCACGTCTTGGTCTGGCCACCCCTAGCTCTCTTCCAACCTACTCCTACACCATAAAACATCATAAGTCGAGGCAGTCGGTGGTTAGTCATACGTAACACATGTGTTATGTCCCGACAAGAATAATGAATGGTAACTTTTGGGATTCATATGTGGACCAATACTATACGTATATTTTTATCGTATAATCGTTAATTAACTAAACTAATCATATTCATATCTCTCTTATCATAAGCTGTATTTTAACCTATGAACTGTTATTATACGATTTTCCATTCTTGAATTATTCCCTGTCTATTAGTCAATGCCTCGCTCATTCACGGCCATATCTGGCTAATTCTTGTACAAATGTTGTTTCATATTTTATTGGTACGTTGTGGTCTGTTTGACTGGTATATAAAGTCAGTATGTTTGAAATATAATGATTCATATCGCACAGGCTTGGATTGGTGTTCTGGACTTGACTGGCTGGGCTAGGCAGGAATCAGGACCAATCAGTACTCTAGGCTGCTCGCATGTGTCTTACGCATCCTTGGTCCGATCGATAAGTCACTGCTCTCCAATCGGCGATCACAAGTCATAACAACATATCCAAGCCAACACAACTGATGAAGTTTCACTACGTCATCAATTAATTTGCCATCCTTACCTAGTACCCGATTCCTAACAACTTCATTACTTATTCCTTGATACCAGGATATACGAGCAATGCTCAGAAGACACCTATGATTAAATACTAGTAACCTACGAATATCCTCTACTCTTACCGGCCATGTTTCACTCCCATAAATTAGGACGGAACGAACTGCTGAGCAGTAAACCCGTCCTTTGATTGGTAGACGGATATCTCGCCTATGCCATAAGTGAAGCAAGTTGGCAAAAGCTAGTCGAGTCTTCTGTATCCGTGCTGAGATTTCGTCACACACCAGACCACAAGGGCTGATGAGACTTCCAAGATAAGTGAAGCGGTCGACACACTCAACTACTTCACTCCCTATCATTAGTTCGGGTGTCGATGCAACCCAATCCTGAAGCAACATTTTACATTTCGAGAGGGAGAATCGTATCCCAAACATGCTTGCATTGTTGCTTAGCGTGATCAGAAGAGTCAGCATTTTGTCAGCGTCTTCACCAAATAAAACAAGTGAATTTCCTGGATGGTGGCACAACTTTGTGAATTAATTGAAGTTAAACATTAACACTGTTGGATGCCACTCTAACTCAATGATCTAGAGGTTAAGCGTTTGCGCTCAAGACTGATAGATCTTGGATTCATTATCTCGTGAACCGAGATCATAAATGCACACTACTAAATATTCCTATACTAAGTTTGAAATATTCATCCAATACTTCCAAATTTTTCATGATGATCTAGCTTCAATTCAACTATTTTAATTACTAGGTTATCTATCGATCATATAAACAAAACCAAATAACTATTATAGAGAAATACTCACTTCACCAGGTTTATGACATATCCAACAATAATCATCTGATTCCATAATTTTACTATTATTATTATTATTATTATTATTATTATTATTATTATTATTATTAATGATATTGCTATGTAATGGACTAGTTTCATGCGAAGAAATAGATTCATTTAATTGTATATAATCATTCCGTATACTTTCATTATTCGATAATTGAGGGATCTGTTTTATGGTAGGATTATTATTATTATTTATTATTATTGTTAATTCAGAAGGATGATTATTCATAATTATTGATTCCTTCTTCTTTTTCTTATTCGTTATATTATTCTTCTTATTTTTATTATTATCCTTTGTAGACCATGTTATATCATCAACAGTATCTAAGTCTATATATTCATCGGATTCACTATCTGATAGACATTGTGTAAATATTTTTGATGAATTATTCCGAACTCGAATAGAATCAATATTAGCGTCATGATGTATTATATTATTATTATTATTGTTATTATTATTATTATTATTATTAGTAGTAGTAGTAGTAGTAGTAGTAGTAGTAGTAGTAGATGATGTAATATTTAAAAGTGAAGATTCTTTTGGTGACATTATCTGATGAATAGTACTACTATCAGTAATATTAGTAGTATTATCATCAGATAATGAATTATATGATTGTAAAGGATTTGATTGTGATGATAAGTGTTGTAATTGTGATGATAAAGAAGTATAAGGACAAATATCAGAATTGAAATCAATATCAATTGATTGCTTTGATAAGTCATTATTAATGACTGTTATTAATTGAGTTGAATTGTTAGTGTGATCCAATTCTACTGTATTGTTATCACTGGTGTTACCTAAAAGAAAAGAAAATAGATAATTCTTTGGAAAAACATGATTAAAAATGCAAATATCATTACTTTATGAGATTACAATTATATTAAAGATAATTATTTAATCTAACAGTTGAGATCATGAGTTAATTGAAGCTAAACCATCATGGAAAACCTGGAAGCACTGGACGGTTGTTTCGTCCTGGTATAGGACTCCTCAGCAGTATGCATCCACGATCCCGCCTCGTGAAATCCGAACCCAGGACCTATCGATCTCGCGTGCGAACGCTTAACCTCTAGACCATTCAGCTAGCCAGTATCCAATGGTCTTAATATCCAACTACAACCAATCAACGAAATTGCACTGTGGTGTGAGCTACTTATATTGATATGAGTAGTATATAACATGAGTTAAAAGAACGTGATGTCTGGCAGCAGAAAATGGGGAAGATCAAGAAAGGAAGAGCGAGAACACAATGGAATTTGTAAGAAAACGCATGAAAAATCGAATGGGAGACAATGGATTGGTGTTTGCAACAGAAACAGTCCAGTTTGGTTTGATGCATGAACATTTTGCAAATTGACAATTTACTATATGGTAGTCAGATTTTATTGAGATAGTCTGTAATTGTTGTGTTAAATACATTCGATTGTCCCCACCCGTGTTCATGTTCACTACAGCACCATCGGCCTGGGTTCGAATCCCATGAGACGGGATCATGGATGCGAATTGCCGAGGATTTCCATATTAGAATGAAACAACCGTCCAATGCTTCCAAGTTTTCCATAGTGATCTAGCTTCAACTAACTTGTGAATTCAACGACTACCTTATTGAATTAACAACAATTTTTAAATCTTTTCTCTTTATATTTGATTGAATAAAAAAGCATAGCAAACTGATTTTAACATTTTAACCTTAAAATAATCATAAAAGACGAGTATGTAAATGAACCATAATTAACCTTAGTGATAAATATTAAATCTATCGATCCTGATAATCTTCTATCCTCTTTATTACAATAGACAATTAGAAAACAAGGACAATAAATTTCTTTTATTGGTATAATTCCATCATCTTATAGTATAAAATCTTATGAATCTACTGTGTGAAAATGATACATTATAGTTAGAAAACCATAATTTGTATAGAAATCTGTCACTTACAATATATAACTGAATGACAAATGTATAATTCACTAACAATTAGGTTAATACAAGTTAATACATAATGAAAGTATATAGATATAATGAATCACAGTAGAACAGCTTTTTAAAACATGCCAAAGCTTAGAGTGTGAGCCCCCTAAGAAAACCATCTGCTTCGATTTGAGTATCTCAGCAGTATTCCAGCCCCCATACAAATTAAATGATTTATATGGTCCATATCTATTTGGTGACTTCTGGTACCAATGTTAACGTGTTTAAATAAACAAATAATAATAATTCCACCTTTCCTAATTATTTGGACTATATTTAGCACAAGCATTCTAAATGGTGAGTTACTGAGATTTGGATTAAACGGTACCTATTTATTTATTTATTTGAACACATAAATATTGGTACAAAGGGGTAACAAATACATATGCGCCACACTAGTCACTTGATTTGTGTGAGGGCTGTGATACTGCTCGGGTTCCCAAACCGATGCAGGTGGTTTTCTTAGAGGGTCAAACCCAGAGCCTTCGACCTAAAGGTCTGATCCACAAGGCAGTGGAGCATCGAAAGGAGATGCAGTCACATGGTAGACGGTGACCAACAATCGGTTCATACGCCATTTGTTCCTTCAAGATCCTGGAGCCCATGTGCACCATTGATTTGGAATCAGGGTTTTTCAACTCCCCTAGGTGGATTCTTCGTGTCTACTAAACCGGTTAGAGCTCCGGATATTCGCTTTTCGTCCTTTTAATTTTGCAAACAACACGCCCGCTACGAGAAAGCAGTGAGTAGGATTTCCCTCGCAGAAGCTATATACGCGTGGACATGTGAGAGCATTTCGAGAGGGAGACCGGACTCTCCCCACTCTCGGCCGTACCAGGGCAGTTGGAAACTGCAACAACTACCACTGAACCGAAAGAAAGCAAACATTATTGGTATTTGTCATTGAGTTAACCATTGTTACACTGACATTTACAGTTGTTAAGGTAGCAGTCCAATGAGAATAGATTCAACATACGCACATGGTTTAAATTCGTAAGAAAAAAAATGAATAAATATTGAGTACTAACCCCTTAAACCACTGAGTCAGTCAGTCAACTACAACGTAGGACCAGGCACATATATGCATCGGTCCAAGTTGCCATACCTCATTAACACAACAAGATGGACACCGGATTCATAAAAGTGTTTGCTGCCTTGACGTGGTGGTCGTGCTTGCCAATCGTGATGAACCTATCGAGCTATAATGGCTGGAACAACCGTTCCTCAAGCTCCTACCATGTCAGACAGGTCGGTTGAAGAGCGGTAAGACTAAAAGCAACAAACCCAAGGTCTGAGGGCGAAGTCGTACTGCTGAATGTACACAGGTGTGACAGCAGTAAGGTGTTTCCTTCAGACAACCAGCATGACAGCGATGCTGCCTTTCCACAAGGGGGGGTGGGGTTAGAAAAAGTCAACCCTAAAAATGCACACCTCGCCTTATCCCACGGATATCCGTCTCCAGCGGTAAGGTCTCAACAAGTACGGAGCTAACACAAAAGTCACCCATAAAAAGGTCGTGTGTGACCGACCTCAAGCAGTTGTCGCTTGGGCACTGCGGTCACGCTCCCAGGTCACTAAGACCACCTCTAATCCAATTTCCTTTACAGGTACCTCCAGAAGAACCCTTCCACGGTATGGGCAACCGCGAAGTGATAACCGCCCTCATACCTCTAACAGCACTCAAGACCGCTGTATTCATAATCAACCTCCATCTTCATTTCCTTAAACCACTGAACCCTTATAAAATTCGAGACACATTATTATTTAATTTACAAAAACATGATTGATATTCCAAATAGGGAAATGGTTATTAATAACTTTATTAATCATGAGCTTTATGCTCAGCAACTCATACAATGATGATCGAATTTCTCTAGTTAGCTTATATAGTTCCTGGACGGTACTTGCTTCGACGGTACGGCCGAGAGTGGGGAGAGTTCGGTCTCCCTCTCGAAATGCTATCACATAGCCACGTGTATATAGCCTCTGTCAGGGAAGTCCTACTCACTGCCTTCTCCTACCAGGGGTGTTGTTTACGAAATTGAGAGGACGAAAAGAAAATTCCGGCGCTCTAAACGGATTGGTGGACACGGAGAGTGCATCTAGGAGAGTTAGAGAACTCTGGTGCACATGAGCTCCAGGATCGTGAGGGAACAAATGGCGTATGAACCGATTGTTGGTCACCGGCTTCCATGGGACTGCGTCTCCTTATGATGCTCTACTGCCTTGTGGATCAAACCTTCAGGTCGAGGGCTCGGGGAGTGGCCCCCTAAGAAAACCACCTGCTTCGGTTTGGGCAACCGGGCAGTATCACAGTCCTCACACATATCGAATGAGATTTGTGTGGTGCATATGTATTTGGTGCCTCCTTGTACCAATATCTATGTGTTAAAATAAATAAGAACTAAAATTGGAACGATACATAGATGATTAGCATGGCCCCCGAGCAAGGATGACAAGCAAAATCGTGAAGCGTTCCATATTTTTACCCCCAAACGCCCTGGTACGAGCCAGAGTGAGGAGATTTAGCTCTATCTCAAAATGCTCTCAAATGGCCACGAGCACACTGCCACTGTCAGGGAAGTCCTACCCACTACCTCCTCGCCACATTACTGTTGTTTAAGAAATCCAGCGAATGTCCGGAGCTCTAACCGGGTTGGTGGGTATGGAGGATCCACCTAGGGGAATCGGAAAACCTTCATTCCAAACCTACGATGCACATGGGCTCCAGTATCCTGAGGGAACAAATGACGTATGAACCAATCGTTAGTCACCGGCTACCATGGGATTGAATTTTCTCACGTTGCTCCAGTGCCCTATGGGTTAGATGTTTAGGTCGAAGGCTCCGAGTGTGACTCCCTAAGAAAACCACTGGCTTCGATTTGGGTACCTGGACAGTATCCCAACCCTCATATAAATCGAATGATTTATGTGGAGTATATCTATTTGGTGACTCATTGTACCAATGTTTATGTGTTTAAATAGATAAATAAACTTAGAGTAAGTTTTTTAAAGGCAAACCACAAAACTCCCTAAACTATAAATTTTAACCTTGCTAGCATTTATTACCATGGGGTATTCTATTGCCTCGAGAAAATACCACTAGATATTCAAAATGTTATCGTTCAAAGATGAACCTTTGAACACTGATAGATAGTTTATAATCCTGGCTACGAATAACATTTCACTCCATTACACGAATCAATAAAACTGAAGTTTTAAATGATTCAATAACAAAGTCATACAGTAACAAATAGTCTAATATTTGCATTTTTTTTAAAAAAAACAAAGTAACAACAACATTGTTTACTTACCTGATTGTGTATTTGCTAAGGGAGGTGTAATATCAATATTATCAGAAGAAACATTGGATTCAAGATGCATTTCTTGTCGAGCCTAGTGAAATATAAGTATTAATGAAACACTTAAATATATACATTTTTATCTAAATCAAACCAATGTTTAAAGTAAATGTTTTGGATTATAAATGAAATTTTAAAGCTTACCAATTTAACTACTATAGGTTGTGAAATCATAGACTAAACAGGGACACAGAGAGTCCACCTAGACGATTTGGAAAACTCTGATACTACATCAATGGTGCAAATGGGCTCCATGATCCCGATGGAACAAATGGCGAATGAACCAATTATTGGTCACCGGTTACCATGTGACTGCATCTCCTTACGTCGCTCCACTGACTTGTGGATTAGACTTCTAGATCAAAGTCTCCAGGTGTGGTCCCCTAAGAAAACCACCTGTTTCGTTCTGGGCACCCGGACAGTATCCCAGCCCACACACAAATCAAGTGACTTGTGTGGCGTATATCTATTTGATGCCTCCTTGTACCAATGTTTATGTGTTTAAATAAATAAATACAGAAATAAAACTACGCAAATATAAATTCTAGGTATCAGTAAAAAGCAACATTAATAAGTTCATATTATGTGGCAGATGATTTTTTAGTATAACTCTAGAATTGTGTCATTAATGAAATAACCAAACAATAGAGGGTTTTAAAGAACCACATATATATATTTTAAGCATTTAATAGAGTTCCTCTGAGTCATTACTGTTATAGAAATAGTAGAAAATCGACATAACCACCATTACTTCGATAGTCCAAAACGAAGTTTTACTTAAGATTGATATATGAATGAACATTCTAAACAGTAGCCAGCGAAACGAGAGAATTAATTCATGAATGGGCTAATGTATATGTAAGTGAATGAGTAACAATAATCCGAAACCTAAGCAGTTGAAATGTAAGTAGGTAAGCGGATATTCGTACAAAGACGTTCATATTTAGAAGAGCACATTCAAGAAATTTAACTATACAGAAACACATACAAGTTATAGATACGATTAAAAATGATACGTCTCTGATAGCCTCATAAGCTAGGCTTAGGTCTAACTAGTTCAAACACGAAACATGTTTACGTAAGCACAATGCTTTTATAAATGAAAATTTTCAAAGCAAAGCGGAAGATAAACAGTAAATACATGGAGCATATAGACTGATTTTTAATTAATATTACCCTAATCTTTCATTCGCAACTTAAAGAAGGGTGAAATGAACAGATGTATTCTAGCCCAATGGTTGGCAGGAAGATATTTAGGATGCACGACTGCTCATGAAGGCAAACAAACATTAAACGGCTTTTTTTCACGTATGTTGAAATTTTATCACCCGCTCAACTCAGAAGATTGAATAACAATACTGATGTTAGTTAGTACAAATACTTCTCACCCTACTGTCAACTTGTAGACATACATAGATCAATCTGGACAAATACTTACAGAAAGCAAAAAGACATCTTAAACATTCTTATGCTATTGTTACATTGGCATCAAAAGAAAGAATTTTGTCTTTCACAGTTCACCAAGTACTGGACAAAAATTATCGAGCGGTCTTAAACTAAGGAATAAATGACTCAAAAATGTTATCCAAGTTAATAAACAGTCAGTGGTTCACCGGGTCCGTTGTGAGATAATAACTCAATGATGACAATGGTGGATGTGTCGCTCAGTTTCGTTGATTGGTTGAAGTTGTACATTAACACCATTGGATACCGGCTAGCACAGTGGTCTAGTGGTTAAGCGTTTGCGCGCGAAATCAATGGGTCTTGGGTTCGGATCTCGCGAGGCGGGATCGTGGATACGCACTGCTGAGGAGTCCCATACTAGGACGAAACAACCGTCCAGTGCTTCCAGGTTTTCCATGGTGGTTTAGCTTCAATTAACTCATGATCTCAACTATTAAAATTAAAAATGATACTTGGATATTTACCATTTTCATTTGTTTCAATCTAGAAATAGCATACAATATAGAGCGACGTTTCCCCGACGATGGTGTTGATGATACTTCAGCTGAAATTTAGAGTGAAATGAATATTTTTTTTCAGTTGGATTGTATGGAGGTGGAAAAACAAAACAGTTTTTTAGGAAAGTTTATGGGAAGAAATTATGAAGTGAATAATACACTATTCAACAGACCATTTAACTCAGCTCTATGTATACTTTGAATTTTGTAACCGGATCATATAACTTAGTCGCCAATCGATTACATGGAATTATAATTAGTAACCAAGTTGTAATATAAGGTTATTTTTCTGAAGAATTAATGGATGAATGGGCGAATGAAAGAATAGAATACTGATGACCAATGAATGATATTATGTAGCCAAATGATAACTGCTCAATAACATACCAAGTATTAAAATAAACAAGTCAGTTAAAACATAAGACAATGGAAGATACGGCTACGGAAAGTAAGAACTAGTTGTGCTAATGTGTTATGGTACATATGTGCCTGGTCCTACGACGTAGATGACTGACTGAAGAACTCGTTATTAGGCTTAATTCTTTCATGGTAAATCATATACATTATTATTGTTATCAGTATGGAGTTGTGGAAATTATTATGTTTTTGATTGAGATCATGAACCATGGATTGGTTGAGGTTAGACATTAACATAGTTGGATGCTTGAACAGTGGTCTCGAGGTTAGGCGTTTGCGTGAGAGATGAAAAGACTCAGGTTCGAACCCCGCAGGCGAAATCGTGGATACATATTGCTGAAGAGTCCTACAATAACACAAAACGGCTGTCAAGTGGTTCCAGGTTTTCAATGGTGGTCTAAAATCAGTCGGTTCATGATCTCAATCAAAAATATAGTATTATTATTATTATTATTATTATTATTATTATTATTATTATTATTATTACTATTATTATTATTATTCAGCAAATACCTCAGTAGCACCTTTTTCAGGAATTTCATTTAAAACACTGAAACAAAAATGAAGACTTTATGGGAGAAAATTTAACAACTGCTTTCAATGTGAACACTTATACAACTAAACAACAGAGCAGGATGAACCAGCAATCTAAATATTAACATAAGTAAATGGAAGACAAAGATTATTGAATATGCTCCCAAATGCCCTGGTACAGCTGACAGTGGGGAGAGTCACCTCTCCCTCTTGAAATGCTCTCAAGTGGCCACGTGCATACAACCACTACCAAGGAAATCCTACTCACTACCTCCTCGCAGCATTACTATTGCTCACGAAATTGAGGACGAAAAACGAATGTCGGGCACCTTAACTGGGTTGGTGGACACGGAGGATCCATCTAAGGGAGTTGGTAAACACTGATTCCGAATCAGTGGTGCACATGAGCTCCAGTATCCTGAAGGAACAAATGGCGTATGAACCAATTATTGGTCACCGGTTACCATGTGACTGCATCTCCTCACGTTGCTCCACTACCTTGTGGATCAATGGTTCCGAGTGTGGCTTCCTAAGAAAATTACCTGGTTCGGTCTGGGCACCTGGACAGTATCCCAGCCGACGCACAAATCAAGTGACTTGTGTGGAGTATATCTACTTAGTGCCTCCTTGTACCAATTTTTATGTGTTTAAATAAATAAATAAATAAAATTACTGAATATTCATTCACCTAATATATTCCATGAAAATTGCTCAATATCTACTTTAAACCAAAGAATACGATCTGGTGTGCAGTAGAATAATACACTAAATATGATTTCAAAAAAGAAATAATAATTGTGTTTTATCTATTACTAATTCTTCAAAATAGTATGTATTGGTCTGCTGACTATTATTATTATTATTATTATTATTATTATTATTATTATTATTATTTGAACATATTGATATTGGTACAAGGAGGCACCAAATACATGTGCGCCACAAAAACCTCATTCCATTTGTGTGAAAGCTGTGATACTGCCAGGGTGCCCAAACCAATGCAGGTGGTTTTCTTAGAGGGTTAAACCCAGAGCCTTCTACCTAAAGGTCTGATCCACAAGGCAGTGGAGCATCGTAAGGAGATGCAGTCACATGGTAACCAGTGACCAATAATTGGTTCATACGCCATTTGTTCTTTCAGGATACTGGAGCCCATGTGCACCATTGGTTTAAAAACAGGGTTTTCCAATTCCTCAACGTGGATTCTCCGTGTCCACTAACCGGGTTAGAGCACCGAACATTCGCTCTTCATTCTCTCAATTTCTTAAACAACACCCCTGCCGCGAGAAAGCAGTGAGTAGGACTTCCCTCGCAGAGGCCATATACGCGTGACCATGTGAGAGCATTTCGAGAGAGAGAGAGAGAGAGAGCGGACTCTCCCCACCCTCAACCGTACCAGGGTATTTGGGTGCTGCTGACTAGTGAATAAAAATATGACATCTCATTTTAACTACAATAACGGTGAGACTATAATTTATAGACGACCTTTGAGTAATGCTAGAGTGAACTTGAGTGTCCACATAATAACTAAGACTAAATGAAGATTATAAACCAATGTGTGACGAATTAGAATTATGATTTACAGTTGATGGTTAAGGTTAGGAAATAGATTTTAGGTTTTCATCACAAACTGACATCAGTTATAATGCCAAAACTCTATTTAGACAAAAAGATACATAAATTCCACACCAAAACCCGAGACCTGTTATCTTATATCTGATTGATTCATCCATAAATTGTAGTCTCACCCTAATAATTAATGAACAAACATGAGATCTTCCTCATGCTCCAATCTGTCAATTATGTTCTCATTATTATTATTATTTATTTATTTTCCCCTGAAACAAATTGAAGACTATGGTCCAATAAACTTAAGGATCAAGTAAATAAGCTGGCACAGTAGCCCAACTAGTCTATAACATTCTAGTAAACATGATTGATAAGTTTTTTGAACATAAAGAATAAACAGAATAAAAACCTGAAGATAATAAATATTAATCTAGTACTTACGTATTGATGGAAGTGATGACATATGTGAGATATTTAACTTGTTTGTCATGGATGATTCAGTATTCAGTATATTTTGATTATCCATTAAATGTTGAAATGAAAGATCCATTAGCAATCATTCTATTATTTTTTTTTAAAAAACAGTGATAAGCAAAGATTTCCTTTTCAGTTTACAATTATCAAACATGTATATTAATTAAGATAGATAACCATCTTGAAATAACTAGCACATTTAAATTAAACAGTCTCAAGTAATGAGAAAAGATTAGTTGAGGGACATGAATGTAAATAAGTGGGTCATTGTTTTGTTTACTTATTTATTTAAACAAATAAATATTGGTACAAGGAGGCACTAAGTAGATATACTCCACACAAGTCACTTGATTTGTGCGTCGGCTGGGATACTGTCCAGGTGCCCAGACCGAACCAGGTAATTTTCTTAGGAGGCCACACTCGGAACCATTGACTTAAAGGTCTGATCCACAAGGTAGTGGAGCAACCTGAGGAGATGCAGTCACATGGTAATTGGTGACCAATAATTGGTTCATACACCATTTGTTCTTTCAGGATACTGGAGCCCATGTGCACCATTGGTTTAAAAACAGGGTTTTCCAATTCCTCTACTTGTATTCTCCGTGTCTACTAACCCGGTTAGAGCGCCGGGCATTTGCTTTTCGTTCTCTCAATTTCGTAAACAACATCCCCTTGTCGAGAAAGCAATGAGCAGGACTTCCTTGTCAGTGGCTGTATACACGTGACTATCTGAGAGTATGCCGAGAGGGAGTGCTAACTCACCCCACCCTCAACCGTACCAGGGCATTTAGGGACCCAAGACTGAGCGTGAAATCATCAGGACCCTATCCTGTTAACACAGTAATTCTAATTAGTGTTCATATAATAAGTGTTTCTCATAATCCAGCATAATAAAACTAAACACTGCCACTTGATATCTGCCATCTGAACTGATTAGACGTGCAGCTGAGTCAATATTACTACTTCAATTATTCTGGCATGTGTTCTGATAGTTTTACCTCGGTGTACTAACATAGTGTGAGAACTTCAACCAATGTACTAGGTCAGTCAGTCAGTAACAACGTAGAACTTCGTACGTACGTACATCAGTTCGAGTTGCCACACCACCTCAACACAGAGATGCAGTTGTCGATTCAAATCCCGTAGTGGTAGAATGTACTAGGTCGTATGCTGCTTATGACTGACTTAATTGAAATTATGAGATCAATGATGTTGAAGTGTGGGAATCAAAACTTTCAATAGTATGCAATTCGAATAACATTCGGTTACGATTTTTCACTGACGTAGGAATTAAAATCATAAAGCACTATCAGGAGACAAACAGTATGCAAACTGTAGCAAAAATCTTAGTCTTTATATTTGATTAAAATTATACGGTGTAAAACGGTAATAAAGTCTAACATAATGGAAGCATTGATTTTGTAAGGGTATAAAATAAATAGTTATGAGCCAGATACCCAGGCTCCATAAAACTGAATCGATATATTACGAAAACAAAATGAAGAGTAGTGAATTTCCCAGACGAACAAATCTCAAGGCTATCAAAAATCTAATTAATAATGTAGTCCATCTTCCAGGATCAGGTAGTAGATTTCAACGCTGTTTTGTCTATTTTAGTTTAGGTACCCTAAGAGTATCAATGGACCACGCCAAAACATGAAATACAGAGCTGGGAACAGAAAATCTGAGCCTGATTGCTGTATTAAATTTACAATATACTAAAAGACCGAGCAGTCACTAAATATGTACAGGAACTGAGACGATCGTTTCAAAGTACCTAGCATACTTAAACTGAACAGTCTCGATTAGTGAAGTTTTATTTAGGGACCTAGTTAACAACCTGTGGGTCATTAGTTTACGTTTTGCTTATCCAGTCAAGTTTTAGGCAGTTAAGTATCAGTAACAACATTCATACAATATATGCTTTTCATAGTCGGACACAAATATATACAGTTACTGAGAGGCACTATTTACTCATTTAAGGTTATTAAATTACTACCATGCAAATGCTTAGACACCATTGAAAATGAGCTGAGTTTAATCTTACTGGAAACGCTCATTTGGCAGTGTCATTGAAGCCTATACGAGAAATTATACCTAACATGAGACTTCATTTTGTACCAAACTAACATTTAATACGTCCGTTGTGATTTCTCAAGACAAACATTGATGGCTGGATAGATTAATACAGTGAATAAATACTTAAGTACCACTGAATTTAACGGACAAGAACCGGTGTTTTCAACGTGTTATGGTCGCCGACCGTTGCTGATACCTTGACGTGGTAGTCGGGCTTGCCTATCGCAATGAAGCAATCGAGCTATACTGTCTAAAACATTCGTTCCTCAATGTCCTACCATGCCTGACAGGTCGGTCGAATGACGGTAAGACAAAAAGCAGCAAACCCAAGGTCTGAGGGCAAAGCCGTACTGCTGACTGTCAGTAAGGTGTTTCCTTCAGCCAGCCAGCATAACAGCGATGCTGTCTTCCCACAAAGAGTGATGGGGTTAGAAAGGGTCGACCCCATGAATTTCGGTCTCCAGCGGTAAGGTCTCAACAAGTACAAAGCTAAAACAAAAATTAACCACAAAAAAGTACTCAAGATCACTGTATTCTTAAACAATTTCCTCCCACAAAGTCTATTATTCCCGCTACTTCAACTATCAACTCGTGTCACCATAGCCAACGATTCTAGTGCGCAAAATACTGTCCCAGGTCTACTGAAACCTCGCTCCAAACTACACATTGGAGCCTTTAACGTACGCACCCTATGTCAAATCGGTCAGTAGGCTTCCCTGGCTAAAAACCTAGAATCTCGTATCATTGATGTATGCTGTGTCTCCGAAACATGCATACAGGATCCCAGTGTGGTCATTCACTTGACCTCACCTCGGCAAAACGGAGAGCCAACGAGATACACCCTCCGTGTATCTGGTGACCCGACGGCCAGTTCTCGTGAACTGGCAGATGTGAACATAGCACTAAGCATGAGGGCGGAACAAGCACTGTTAGAGTGGATCCCCGTCAACAGTCGTTTGTGTGCTGTTCGGCTAAACGGCTCCATAAGAACTCGGAAGGATAGGGGCATACATCGTTGCCTTTTCGTCGTTTCTGCATACGCTCCCACTGACTGCAGTCTGGATGAAGTGAAAGATGAATTTTACAGAAAGCTGTCTGAACTTCTTCAGAAAGCTAAACGCTCAGACATAGTACTCGTAGCAGGTGACTCTGATGCCCAGGTAGGTAGCTTAAACTAAACAGAAAGACATTTAGGTGGGTATTTTAGTATTCCGACTCAGCGAACAGATAATGGTGATCGTCTGCTGCAACTGTGCTCAGACAATCGTTTATTTTTAGCAAACTAATTTTAAGTATAAGGAGAGACATCGACTAACATGGAAACGCCCTGCACCAAAACAACGATGGGTTCAAATAGACCATATTGCCATTAGTCAACGTTGGAGAGGCTCGGTAGAAGACTGCCGCTCGCCCTGGAGTATATGTTTGGACGCTGACCGTTGTTATATAAGAAACATGATGTTATATGTCTTAAAAAATTAGTAATACAAATGTGGAGTTGTGAATGAGATAAAACAGCTTACTATAAACGAACATAAGGTAGTCGAATCCTAATACAAACGGAAACACACTTTCGCAAACATCTTTACACAGAGATACACTTGAGAAAAGGTACGAAGTCGAACCTAACAAAGCACTGGATTTTCAATTTTTTCAACCGACATTAACAGAAACTTCACAAACAACCAATAATAGGAATATTCTGCTGAAAAAAAATAAGGGGATACGCAGCATGAAGTCTCTTTATTTGCCTTTCATGGGGAAATAATGCGATATTTCACCCCTTTGCCGCTCTATGTTTGAGATGTCGATAAATCGTCAACTTTTCATCTAAATAGGATATCCACCTTTCGGAATCGCATTTCAAAACACGACTGTTACCTGAGTCAATAGCCATAAATACTGTACACGTAATTTTACGTAATCATGTTTTAAAATCGTACGTTAAGACAGGTAAGTGATTCATGTAGGATAATATTAAGCTTTTGACCAACACTCAATAACTAACATTACATAATTTCGACGTCCAGCCCACTAAATATACCATCTGAATATCCAAAACCCAAACTCCATCGACTATATTAGGTGTTCTCTTAGTCACATATGACTATAATTATAGTCCACTTAAGTTTACTCGCATAGTTGTATACTGTGGACACATTTCAGGTCACATGAAAAATACAGGAGCATTCAAACTTGGTCGTATACGAATGGCGGTTAATTATATAATCAATATTTTATTATATTATGATTCTATTACTACCACACACGACACCTGATACTTTACACCAACATTCTAAGCTAAGGCATGATCAGAATTAGGTTAAACTGACTGTAAATTAGATTATAGCCTGGCAATATATCATTCGATTGTTAGTAACCTGAAATTCAACGTGAGATGTAACCCGTAAGTCACAGTTAAATGCAAAGAGATCACTACTGAGCGTGGATTTGAATATGTCTAACCAAATATAACCTTGATGACCTACAAAAATAAACAAAGAAGTTATTTAAAAGGTAGGATGTTTTTAATAATGAGCATATGACTTACTTGATATTTAAGATTTCGATTTTGTGTTTGAACATCATAATCAAATTGGTTAACGTGTTGTGCTCACAAGTGAACGTAAATTCTGCCTTTATACATCCATTCACGTAGCAACTTCTCGACGATCTGGTTCGGTAGAACTTGCATCCAGATATTTGGGAACGGCTACGGACTCTTAGAATTTTCACTGATGCATGTCTGACTAGTCTGCCTTCTTGGGATCTAATATGGATGTTAAGACCGCATTTTGTGTTGAACCACTAGTAATGAACTACAATTTGTAGCCAACCTTTTATTTTTACCCACTTTTCCTCTCATCCATGTATAATCACTAACAAGCGCAATATTTGCTGTACTGAAAGTAAACAATTTATATGCACCAAATTTATTTTTCCTGATATTTTTCTCACCGAATTGAATTGTTCATTTTCATTATTTATCTGTGCCTGCTAGTGTTTATGTGCATGAGGGCAAATAAATTTGCACGATAAATAGCCCTGTAAGCCTACAGCATTGATGCTGACCTCACAGGTTTGACTCAACACACTCCAACGTAAGACGCGTGGTCAAGCATCTAGAACAAGTCGCCATTGCGTACCCTGTGCTACACATCCCTATCAACAAACAGCAAGCACAGATCAAACACATATAAATATACGGCATACCTTCTCAATATATCTTTGAACTTCTTCAATCCTAACTTTTAGTTTACCTGGTCTTCAAATCCACAATCATGAAGGTTTTGGAATTCACATCACTGCCTGTTCTGAATTGACGTATCGAAACGATTGAAAATCTGATGCTTAGCGTTCCTAAAGAATACATTTAGGCTGGGGGCGGAATAATATATGAAAAAAGAGCTAAGTTCGCGGTGGCGAATTTAAAACCGGCAACGTTTAGAATTGACGTTCTAGGAAGATTTGAATGGAAAGAAAGCCCATTTAACGCTTGAAGACGTTTCCAGTTCTATACTCAACCAATGCAAACCCTCAGTCTTCCCAAAATGAACGAAAATTAACTCATCATCAGAATTGACGAGGCGTTTGCATTTGAAAATTTCAGGAGACCAAGAATCAACAAATTTAAAAATTGATCAAACCTAATTTGACTACATGTCTCAGTTCGGTACTGTTCGTCTCACTGGTTACCAATGAACATTGTTTCAACAACTGTTCCCAAAGCAAACTGATGGTGACTGTCTACCGTGTGAGGATCGCAGAGCTTTTAACCATCAGACTGTGCCTGATGGCTATCCAACGCCTCTTAGCCAATACTTCATAAACTCCATACGGGTCACGGCCATACGCACCGTAACGTATCTTGGCGTTGAGATGCCATTAGCTTAAACATGCTCGCCCCGCTCGGGTTCAAGGACGCCAAACAAACGAGTTAAAGTTTGATGGACAGTGTGCTTAGAGGTACGTCTTTCGCACGACGATATATCGACTACATGTTGATCGCCAGTATTTAGTTCAAATCACATGAACAAAGTGTGAAAGTCATGTTAAAACGGCTGGATGAAAATGTGATGAGCATACATCAAAGTCTGTCTCCGAAGTTAAAACATCGTACCTTCTTAGACACATATTGAGTACTAGGAGAAAAAACACCAAGTCAAAAATATGTGGACACCATTAAACAACATCCCATACCAATTTTTTCAGCACAACTTGGACGTTTTCTAGTTATGATCAACTCTTATTGTCAATTCTTGCTCGGTTGTTCACAATTAGTCCAATAGTCGATAGAAACTTCCAGAGGGAAACCATAAAATTCAAGCTGACATTTTAGTATACTGAAGCAACTACAGAGCTAAATGATTAACTAACCAAAGCACCTATAATGGTTCAACCAAAACCCAATTATCCACTCTCCCTAATGATGAATGCTTCGGACAAGATATTCCATGCTCTTAATCAAATGGTGAAAAACTTCTGGCAACCGATCAACTTATTTTCAAGAAGACTCGCTTTTACAAAGATGAGATAACTTGCTTTCCGATGAAGACAAATCTTTATATACCTATCCATTAAGAATTTCTGGGACACTGAAATAAAGAGGATTGTAAGTTAACATAAATCATGAACCACTGATTAATACATTGAAAGCTGAGACAGATAAATGCTCGTCTCGAAAAATCCAACACCCCTATTCACCATATCTCAGATAACCAGTGATATACGTCACGCAAACGTTTAGGAAAATACATTATGTTAATAAGAAATGAACATAACTAATTGTCGACTACAAGTTTTGGAGATTTGTGAGACAATGTTTATTTAATAACCTCTATCCTTTGTCTCATTTTTATACGAGAGGTACTATCAAACTTATTATTGACATATGTATATTACTAGATTCAAAAAGTGATGCATAGTAATGGATTAGAAAGTGCTTGGATTGCCAACAGATAAGATATAAATGTTATGCGGATTCACATATAAAAGCATTCTCATAGCGTGATTCACATCTGGCACACGATAATGTGGATTTGATAAACCCTCTTGATTTTGTTAAGTGCGTACACAGACTAACAAGTATTCCAGTAGTCATACCAGCAGTCAATACCGAGTATGAAGCAGTGGCCAAAGCTTTCATTTAGACCTGGGCGTTCAATTTCGGTCAGCCCATTGGAATGTAAGCTGTTTGAAAACAAGTCAGAACCTCTAGATTCTAACAAAATACATTGCATAGTACACCACTCTCAAGCAAATAGGAAAGCAGGACGTGTCTACCGTCAATTAAAAGCTACCCAAACGTCTCATCTAGACCCACTCAGTGGATAAAATCCCAGCCATTAGTCATACTGAAAAATAAGTTAGACGTGAAAACTGATTCACAGCATTTAACAGCAGAACTAGTTTTCGGGATAGCATTAGGACTACAGGGTTTGTTGATCAATCCTCTTACAGGAAGCAAGTAGTTTGACCTAGTAAGTTGCGTGGACAAACAATGAGATCAGATGTACAGTCTTAGAGCGAATCATGCTGGAAAAACTTCGCTAGCTTAACATAAACCAAAAGATCAAAACACTTCTACGCAGGTCTGGATACGGAGGGATGAGGTAAATCTACCACTCAGCCCTCAATTTGAAGACCCAACCAAAGTTGTTGCAAAAAAACGAATAATCTGTTATACAAACATTGAACCTCAGATATCAGAAGTACTGATAGACGATACCGGATTATTTAGATAATGAACCAACTTATGTGGCATTGAATGCATTTACAGGGCAAAGATCAGAACGATTTGTAATAAAGTGTCAAGTCACAATCAATATGATATTCATATGATAATAAAATAAAATTAGTGTGTGTGCATAGTAAGAGAATTTCATTATGTTAATCTAGGTATAACAACCATATTTATAATATTGTCGTGTGAATATAATATGTAACAAGATGGATTTATCACGGTAATTACAACAACAAAAATCATGTGAATTGGGGGTTGGATGTGTAGAATAAGAGTGATGCAAATATAAAAGAAGTTGGGAGGGGGGATGAAATGTTTATAACATCCAGTTTGGGCATACAGTAATACATTCATTTGCCACAGTAAGCATAAAGGCCGGTTATACCTTTTTTGGATACGTAAGTTCAGTTTTCTGAGTTTGGTCCAATTGTCTTCAGCTATGTAGCCGTAAGCTAACTACTTCAAGTAGATTCTCGGAACTTGATATAAAACAGAGGAAGCTCTATCTATTTTAATATGATGTTCACTACCTACCGAGTGGGAAAGAATGGTACTGTAAATTAATTCAGTGACAACCTTTCCAAACTATGCTGGTGCATGTTCACGAACATGTAAATATAAAGACCTCTCAGTATGGCCTAACTAACTAGCTCCACAGAAGCAGTTGAATTGGTATACACACATGAAGAAGCCGATCATCTATAGTCTATTCTTATTTTGTTTTGAGAGTACCAGTTTATTTGAGAAAATCATGTGTATTTTGACACCACGAAACGTACTTTCGAAGGATCCTTTAAGTCGACATGTAAAAATGTCACCCGCTATGTCTCCTTTAAAGTCCGGTTACAGATACGTCTTTATTACAGACCGAGTCACAACTCCTTCCTTTAATACCTATTTAGAATTTTCTGGTAGGACTATCCGGATAGACGTTGTTTCGTAATTTTCTTTTGCTGTATCTATTTCGCTATCTACACTATTTTCGGAACATAATAGTCTAATTCTGAGACTGGGACATTTAACCAAATTTATTTTGTATTGAATAGATTTAAAGCTACGGAAATGGGTGTACTGACCAGCTCATGCTGTTTTTCGAAATATATATCTTTTTATGGAAATGTCTATCCTTCTGGAAAGTAAAACATCAAGGAAAGCTGTACTATTGTAGTTCTAATATTCATTTGTGAATTTAATAGGTCAGTAGACGCTATTAAAACAGTTCAACAGATCTTGTCTGTCGATACTTTCATCTAATATGATTAGTATGTCATCTATTTATCTAAAGTAATAATCCAGATTATTTAAAATCTTATTCAGCGGCCCATCTTCTAGTTTGGCCGGAAACATACTAGTAAGGATGGGGCCCAGAGGTGGTCCTGTAGCGGTAAATAAATCCCCAAAATAAATAGCCCTTCAAGTCTTCAACACTGGATGCTGACCACATTAGTTTTAATGGAATCACCTAGCTGAAGGCGCTCGGTCATGCATCCGCACCAGATCACGAGTGGGAACGTCGTGCTCAACAACCCCTGCAATCGCTAGCCAGATTAGATCAGACGATTCTTGATATATTGATATATATCTTCGAATCTCCTCGCTTCCATATTTTGATTTCCCTTGGTGGGTACGATTCATATTAGGTGTTACTGGTTAAAGCGCTGTCAAACTCCCAATACCTGTGGCATCTTCAATCCTATTTGTCAGTAAAATTCAATGTTAAACATAAAGTAGATATTCATGGCAGATTAAAACAGGACCCCCCTTATTTTTCACTGAGATCGGTATCTCTATTTTCTTTTCCAGCAATTGTTCACGTATGTTATCGATGGTTTCAGTCAGTGGGATGTGAGTGAACAAAAATGTTTTGTCGGGTGATAACATGGTTTTGCATTTGAATCCATATATTTTACTGCGTCTACGAATTAAAATACACATTCAACGTTATACTTAACCAATTCTCAGTGTAATGGTTCTAATAATCTCACCAATCATTTTGGTGTTAAATGGTATTGTGCGCTTGACATATCTGAAATTGGGCGTAAAGGAACTTCAGGTTATTGAAACTTGGGTTCGCCCTTGTAAAAGTCATAATTATGTACTTATAACCGTGGGGCTTGACGATAACGTCGTTGAAAACAATTCTCTGCTCAAAAATTATTTTTGGGATATTTATATCATTTAAATGAACCAACATTCTCATGGACGAGGGGACGAATGTGGCAGTCAAAAGTGGGTGAATAAGCGCTAGCCGGTGACATTTTGGGGCTAAAAAATTGCACATAAATTATTTATTAACTTTCGTGTTTGCGTGGGTATCGCATTGTCCGTTTCTCTATATTGGATGGTGAAATGTTTTGAGTTTAATTCAAGAAGTTGAGAACCGCATATTCCAAGCATTATATAATGAAAACCAACCTACCTTGAAATCTATTAAGTCCAAAGCTGAATACAAGTCCTACAGTGTCAACATATTAAGATATTTTTCTAACTCCTCTTCACCGAAAATAAGAAAATGCCTCCTGCCGTAGTAAAAGAACGAAAGAAGTTTATTATTGTAATCGGATTTTCCAAATGCAAAATTGATTTCTTTTTGACTATTACCATGTTGTTCTGCTGTATTTTCTACCGTTCCTTTTGTTGTTTGTGCTTTTGTGCATTTGTTTTCCTTTTTGATTGGTTACAACAAACTACGCGATAATGTTTAGAAGTTTCATATCTCATATATGTTTTTGATATTTTCGGGTCCTTAATTAACCTCTCATCTTTCTTTACTCAAGATAGTCTTAGAGCGGTTGCCATGTCGAACTGCTATACTCTGTTTGTTACTTAGTGGGCTGATTGGTTCTGTTTTATGTGCCTGATATTAAAACATGTTCCCTGTTGTTCAAGGAATGTTTAACATCCCTAGGGCGAAGTGAGTTTTCTTATTCCTCTTTTTCCGTGACTGTTAGGATTAATTTTAGTATTGTTTTATCAAATTTTATTAGGAGTACGTACATTTTGAAAATGAATTATTCGTGTGCCATTAGTTTCGTTTGTATTTGCGATTTGCAAATCCCAAGTGTACCTTTTCTGTGCCTTTCGGAACTTACCTCACGTTGTTATACGGCTGGCGTTGGCTACCGTTGTTTTTCAGTCCGCATGAGAAAGAAGTGGCTTAAATGGGAAATAATCAAGAGTACACAAGCTCAGGAAACATTCCCATTCAAGGCTTCACACCACTGATATTTTCCGTGATGTTTACAATAAAATTGTTGATTTGCCAAACAAAATAGTCCAATTTGAGCCATTGTGGTGTTTGAACGAACTAATAATACCTTTGTACTTGTTGAATGCTCGATTTCGAATTCCAAATACAATACATCCGTTTGTGCTTGTGTCTTACTTCTTAATTCAATTGCGTTATTTCTGGGACTCTTATTTCATAATACAATTCAAATTATTCAAGACGTTATAGCCATATAGAACTTGATGAGCACAAATAAGCGTGTTACATTTGGAATTCGTAATAAGCAGGGAAAGAAGTACAAAAGAATCAATAGTTAGTATGACAGAACAGAATGAGATGGCACGCTTCGATTTTATTTAAATAAGGTCAATGTCTTGAAGTCGCTTTATTTTGACTACATGTTTCTCAACGTTATCAAGTAGTGCTTTATTGTATAAAATATTTTAAGAGCACGTTTCATCAGAAAATGTTGATTTTTAAAGGAAAACAACCCTTATTGACTTGTTCCAATAGGACTGGACAAGTTGTTCTCGACCTCAATCTATCCATCTGCCTACAAACAGATACTGCCGCAAAAGAATTCGATTAAACTTAAAGGTGACCTTAAGGGACGAAACAAGAGAGTACGAGAATGCGAGTTTTGAGTTTTGCCTGAAAATCATAGTTCTAACTGAAACTTAGCTCTGTCCTGATGTCATAGTTATGAGAGTGAACATGGAAGTTGTGACTCACTCCGGATGTGACGGAAGATTGTGTAAGGTGTGGCTTGGGAAATGTGTCGGCAACCAATATATGACCACAAAGCCGCATAGTAATAGTGATATGACCGAAACAGTGACTTACAGCTGATTCTGATTAGGCTCGATCGCTACCAAATTTATTACTGGAGGAACATATATTGCCCTTTAACAAGCGAAAACTAACACGAAAAACAAACACTCTAGTTGTCATAATTATTACCACGGTTAAAGTTATATCAGTTCTGTTAACCTGAACACTGTAACAGCTTTCAGACAGATGGAGATAAAGTATATATAACCCCTTTATTCACATATATGCAAGCGTGAATGTCGAATCTAGAACTCCGTCTGACTGTATCTTGCTCTTTCATCGTGCAACATCCAAAACCCACAACTTGTTCGCATTTCTGCAATGATTAGAAGGATTTAAATTGCTGTACGAACCATTATTTTCGGAAATAACGCAATTTAAACCAAAGAGGGTCAGACAAGCACGAAGGAATGCGCTGTATTTGGAATTCGAAGTCAGGCAGTCATAAAGTACGAAGGAATCATTAATTCATACAAACACCACAACTTTCTAAAAAAAGGTGTGTAATTCTTTATGAACGAGTAAAGAGGCGTGCCACAAAATTATTAATGAGGTTAGGAGTCAAATTAAATGAAACCACAACTCAATACCAAGGGTCGTTCTTGTTAAGCCATAGTCGACAATGAGGCGATCTGATAATGTCGTATAGCATTCTAAGCACTCCTGATCACACTAATGGAAATATCCTACCCGAACGTCAACATTTACCTTCCACAGGAAACACACAAAGAATTGTGATTCACAGAGACGATGTCCAGGTGAGATCACACTTCTTTTTAATAGAGGCCTGACTAGCCAGGGAAGTCCTCGCAGCGGGTGAGATCATAGTCCTCTCGGAGGACGATTTCAAGGGGAAGCTAGATAAGGATCACTCACTGCGATCCTTATCTCCTATCCATATTCTGATTTTATGATCGGCGACACTACAATGAATCAATCTTTTGTCTGATAATGTGATGACTGCTGGTCTAAGAAACACCGATGGCCTAGAATAAACTCACGCAAGAAATACTACCCTTCAATTAACCATCGAATTCATACGTGACGATAAAAAAACCTGAAACTATACCGTGGCTTTAGAACGAGATGACAAAGATGCTGAGTGATTTATACGAGCTCTTCACAAATATATTGGATATTAAAAGATGCAGAAATAAACTAGTTGTTGCTAAAGCGGTGTATTTGAAAGGAGAGCATTTTACTGGCTGTTTCGTCCTAATATTCTCAATTCCCTAAAGTTTCAAAGTTGTTTCGAATATCAGTACGCCAATACTATGGGACAGATAGTAACATCACTCTGACTTAGCTGATGGTAAGTGTTTACTGGTCAACATAATATAAATATCTTAGTACGATATCGTATTAATTTTAGTATTTATGTACGTGCTTTGAGCATCAACTGTCTATAGTATACGCTAAAAGTTCCAAGTTTTTATAGGTCCAGTCTATTTATTTCGTTTTTGACTATGTATTGTAGTTTCCCAGCGTTCTAAATGTTATAACATTCAGCTTAATTTACCTATAGGTAAATTAAGCTGATAATATATTATAAGCTTATATAAACTGATAATTCATTTATTTAATGTGAAGTGTATTTTTTAATTATTTTGAGCTAATTATGAACTCATTCAGTGGTGACACCGCTTATTAATTAAACTGCGCAGAGCTTTAAATAAACTAGTTTACGAAAGATCTCTGAATCTAAATGAAATTATTCATGTTATTTTGTAGTGAGAATTATAAATTTCATAAGCTGATTTGTCTAATAGAATCAATCTTTTGGTGCTGCAATAGTTAAGCTTCATTAATACAACTTTTGTAATAACATTATGCGAATTAGATAAATTGCCGCTAACTAACGGCTAAGCTAATGTATAAATTTTTAAGTATTGCTTTGGTGGCCTTAAGTAAACTCACCTACTTACCAGGGTTAGAATTTTGCTGAGTAGTATGAGGGATTATGATAAGAAATGACAGAAATTTTGGTTCGGAATTATGGTTAGGGCTTTCAACACACTGACATCTGTAATCTCCAAAATGCTGGTCAACCATATTGAAGCAGTTCATATCTAGCTAGGAGGTACTTTGTGTACCAGAGGAGCTTGCACAGAAGCGTGAGGGTTGTAAACGAGAAGAAAAAAGGTTGGTTGATGAATCAACAAGTGCATACGATGCACTTAAATTTAATAACAAATACGATCAACAATATTAAGAGCTAACACGCGACTCAGATTAAGACAATCCTAAAACCTTGGTTAGAACCAGATAGTCTAATCCATTACAAGTATTGGTGAGTGACTTTCACTCCAAAATTCAAGGCTTCATATCCTTAAATCTATTGCATCGTCCGTATTCCTGCTCAAAGAAAACCAGAGTTTTAACATTCAGCTTTCAGCATGTATTGTCTTGCTGTGGCTCTGTTTTGGGAATCTGATTCAAATCGTAAACCAATAATGAAGTCAAGTGAGTCGCTTGGGCTAAGTTCAAACTCCCTATCCCATGATATAGCAAATAGGCCACTTTTTTGATTATGCTCTCATGCTTTGTGTAATTCACTTTTAGGAATTAAATAGTGAGTCAGATCCAACGTTTTTCAATGATTCTGATGATGATTTTTTCAATGATGGTATATTCTCGGAGTTTACATCTAAACACATTACAAAGTCCTCTGGCTTCCACAAGTCATCATCTGAAGAACTTTGCTTTCATAAATCCCCATTGAAAGGCACTCAATCAACGAAAAAAATCATTCGTAATTCAAGTAAAGGAACATCCAGACATCGTAAACTCCCTGGTCCAGCAGGTTTACTTCCAAAGGTATGCCTAAACAAATTTTGTTACTTTAAATTAAGCTTCATGAACATGGTAATCGTCAGCGTCCTATGATTGGGTCAAAATCACCCAAAAAGGTAAGAGCGAAACATTTCTTCTGGAGACGTTCCAAATCTTTCTAGAAGAAAGATGATACTGTATCTAGTTTGACTGAAAGCTGTCTATCACCATCGTTATCTCAGCACCAATCATCTTCAAGTCAAAGTGAAGAAGCTGCTTTGTTAAACAGACTACGGTCAGAATGTGGTTCAACCATATGGTCGGTTGTTGAAAAATATTCCGTCAGAGAAATTTTGAAAATGGTGAAATTCGTTTACATCTAATTATTTGGTTTTTCAGATCACTTCTAATCAACTACCGAAAGGTAAAATCCCAATAATGTGCGGTTTTCTTGATGAAGTTGAACTAATGCCTACGGACGCAAAAGCATTGTTAAAAGACAATTCAGGTAAAAAAAATCTTTATTACACTGATAATAAAATTTTCTAGGAGTTTTGGCTTGTACAATCCACCGTTCAGTGATAAAGGAATATAAAAATGACTTGGGTTGTTGTTCCCTACTTCTGTTGAAACAGGTCAAATTTATTATTTTAAACTACTATTTTGTTTGTATAAGATTTTACGTATCGCATTCGTTTCTTTTCTTAGAATCTAATGTCATTTCACTGATAATAAGGAATTACATTCAAAAATTTAATTACTAAATGCTAATTAAGACCTGTATAAGGCATAATACACTTCAACTTACTATATTTTATCAGCATTCGCTTGTGTAGAATCTTAAATGCAAACAGGGGCAGTCTGGTTCAGAATTTCAGATATATATGCCAAATTCATGTTTTCAGAATGTGACCACCTCACTTGTCACTACAGTGAGTAGTATTTTCGAGATTTTGCACTCAACAGCTATCATTTACTAAGTTTATGTGTCGTTTATTAGCAAAGAACTAAGTTTGACAGTCAGGTTTTTATTTTATCCGGGATTAAGTGACCTACCTAATTTTTATCCTACAGCTACCCATTCCATAAGTAACTGCTGATTATACTTTTTGTTGTAATATTTTCTGTTTGTATCATTTTACCAACATAAAATTCTTTACTGATCCGTTGTTTTGACTTCGGATACTCGCTCGCTCCTATTTGTTGTGTTCAATGGCCCGTCAAAAATATCACGTGATGAAGTCAACAAACGGATTACCGACTAGTATGACCTTATCCCTATGCTAAAACAATGGTGCGTTAGCCAGCACGAGCAGCCTAGAGTCATCTCCGAGTCCTCTGTATAGTAGATTCTCGCCTATCCCAACCTGTTCAGTCCGGAACACAAATCTTAACCTTTGCTATGTGAATCGTCTATTTCAGAGCTACGTAGTTTATATACAAACCGACCAGACCGCATCACAACACAGAATGAAAAATAATAGTTAAACAAGATCAAGCCAAACGTTCGCTGTGAATATAGGAGACTGTAGTTAATAGATTGGGAATAAATTAAGAATGGCAAATCGTATGACAGTGGCCAATAACTCAAATCAAAGCTTATGATAAAAGGAGTATGAATATATATGTAATCTAGTTACTTAATAATTCCCCAATAAGAATATATGTAATAAAAGTCCATAAATTATTTCTAGTAGTTACTATTCATTTATTCTTGACTCGAATATAGCACTTATTTCGCCGTATCACAGTAATGTACACTTGGATGGCTTAAACAAACCTATAAATTCATCGTCTAGATTGTTTGTATCAGATGGTTCGTATAAAAAAAGTCCTTAGTTCTTTTTAGACATATTCAGTTTCTACTCATCTGTTGTGGAAGTTTCTTTAGTCAGTGAATGAATATAGATTGGAATATCAGACAAATATTGTTCAAACCGACTTCCACATAAGCCTTTTCTCTCCAACAATATAAACCAATGGATTAGACTAGTCTAAAGTCATTAACTCTGATTTTTATACGCCAACTAATGGTTCTAAACTATTTTAAAGGCCTTAAAACGTATGCCATGAAGACTTTACTTTTTCTTCAAATCTCTACCTAGAAAATATCTTTACAGTTGTGATGTCATCTGCAACGTTATGGTAGCTAGGTTTTCTTTCCTTGGATTTATAAGTCTTTTTTTAACTATTATATAGTAGTTTTAGACGTGGTAAATATTACAATAGAAATTAAGCAAAATGTATTCGGCATATTAGTTTATTTATTACCACAATTTTTATGCCTTATAAAATTCTAGGTTACTATTTTCAGTCCAACTGGCAAAAAGTTTTATGCCAATATAACTCTTCCAAATATTGTAAAAATATATACCCCCGAAAATACTATTATTACTTCAGCATCTGGTCATCATACAACAGCACCTCTTTCTTCTCCATTATCTCTTCGAGAAGTGGAAGCTTTAGAGGAAGATTGTTTAAGAGCTCTTTCACCGCCTTCAACTCCAATGCCACAAACAATCTCGATATCTCCTATCTTAAAACCTATGTGAGTTTTGTATGACGTCGGTCATTTAAATTCTTTTATGAATTTTGATTTCTATACATGTGTTTTCAATGGATGAAATATTTAAACATCTGATTGCGAAATTGATACTGAGCATGATTTCATCTGCCTCGAAATGTTCTGAAGTTTAGAGTTTATGAATATAGGGATTCCATTAATTATACCCTGCTATTCTGACCAAACATAATTTTATCTTGATTTGTCTCAACTTAGCTCATTTTTTTCCTTATGTAATATTTATCCTTCATTCTAATACTGAAAAGACTTATGAAAGAGATTATTTCATGTCCGCTTTTATTGAGTTGAGCCAAAAGTTACTATTTATTTACATGGAATTTGGCATTGCTGTACAGTCTGTAACGATATGGCCATCAAATTGACCAGATTCAACAAAATTATTGGAAGCAAAGATAGATATTGTCTAGTAGTGGAGTTTAGGACAGGCGTTTCGTCCTATTTGGGATTCCTCATCTGGATATACCTGTATCCAAGATTCGATGTTCACACGGGAACTCGAGCGTAGTATCATCCGCTCCGAACGTCATCGCGTTATCGACTTGGCTACTGAGTCCTGATAGCTGAGAGACTGATCAATTGTAGTCCTAAACATCAATGAGAAGATTCAAGTGAACAATACATAATGAATTTAAATTGATTCGAAGATAATATACTAAAGATCGCTGATTCATTCTATGACCAATGCTAATTAATGTTAATTACTTATTCACACTAATTTTGTGATGGCTAACACGGAAGTATACTATCTCTTTTAATGTAATTCTTGAGAAAATTATAATGATAAAGCAAAAATCATATTTGTATAATTCTTAGTTGAATAACAGAAAATCATCCAAAAAAGTGTGGAGAAGTAGTTTAAGAGTTTGGTCACTAAGTACTGGGTCCGAATCCCTTTCCACCTACTTCGTTTTGGGGAACCGAGCAGTTTTATTAGCACTCATGTGGCCCGTGAATTACAACTAAGTACCTAGTAAATTAGTTATTTGTTATTCCCATTATATAGGGGCATATTAACAATACATGATAGGAAAACTGAAATGGAACTTTTCGTTTATCACGTTTGGCTCAGAATATTTCGGTTTATATCGGTACTTATTTTCTTTTGTTCATCGATATTATACACAATCGTCTGCTTCTTTAACATCCATGAAATGGAAATAATTTATCACAGGATAGTTTGTATTATTTTATCAGGTTCTATATGGTACAGTTACTAGTTGGAGGAAAAAACACTTTAAACTAATCACCAATGGTAACTAAGAATATTCAAATGAATACTGTATTTTTATGCCCAAAAAATCTTTAATTTAGAAAACTCTTCTAGAAGTAAAGAGGGAATAGTTAAAATACTGTCTATTGCATAACGATTATCACATATATTGAGAATTCTCACTATTTATCGATAATCAACTATCTAGATATTAGGTGATTGTAGTTAGTACACAAGCAAGTCTATTGTATCAAATTCTTCACCAAAATATATTTGAAATCTTTGAAAAACAGATGCTTTTTATCAGGTTTAAACCTGTATCATACAGCATTACAGTTTGAAATGTTACCATTGAGTTATTCATAGGTAACATCTCAAATTAAGTTATTTAGACAATTGGTTATATACTGTAATAGATCAATAGAATTCATTGGTTGTTGAAAACAAAAATAAAGTTTAATTGTAGTTCATTATCAATTTATAATTAGTGATGAGTATCTAAGGAGTTTTGAATGCTTTGAAATTTTTATTCTAGTGGGATATTCCATAAATTGCATGATACTGTTGTCGTTTATTTAGTCAGTCCTTATGGTCTAGTGTGTGACGAAATCGCAGCAAGGATACAGAAGGCTCGACTAGCTTGTGCCAAAACTTGCGTCATTTATGGCGTTGGCGAGATATCCGTCTATCAACCAAAGGACGAGTTTACTGCTCAGCAGTTCGTTCCGTCCTAATTTATGACAGTGAAACATAACCGGTAAGAATAGAGGATATTCGTTGGTTACTAGTATTCTATCACAGGTGTCTTCTGAGCATTGCTCGTATATCCTAGTAGCACGGAGTAAGCAATGCAGTTGTTATGAATCGGGTACTAGGTAAGGATGGCAAATTAATTGATGAAGTAGTGGAACTTGATCAGTTGTGATGACTTGGACATGTGTTACGTATGCCCAACGACCGACTGCCTCGACGATTGATATTTTGTGGTGTAGGAGTATGTTGTAAGAAAGCTAGGGGCGGCTAGACCAAAACATGGCACAAATCGATGAAGTGATTGACAAGTGAACTGAGTCATGTTGGTAGGAGTGTACTATCTGGTTGGGATCCGTGAGACGATAGCAAGCGATGGTTAGAGAACTTGAATGACACATGGCTCAAAATCGTTTGCAAGGTGTATCCACTCTTTGTGTTCTCCCAAATTCTATTCTACTGATTTCTTCATATTCCCTCTTTTTTCTCTTTTGAAATTTATTTCATGGGATTATACTCCTTGAATAACATCTTCAAAGCCTAATGTTTCCAATTACTGCTTATCATTTTACTACCTCTAACACTATGTGATTTGAATCGACAATTGTATTTGTGTGTTAATGTGATATGGTAACTTGAACTGATGTACTTACGTACGAAGTTCTACTTTGTTACTGACTGACTGACTGACGGTTATTTAATGAAAATCAGCTTCAACTTAGTATCTTATATCAAGATTCAAACCATTATGATAACCTGTAATTAAAAGCATTCCTATGTAGGCTGTTGGTTCTTTCAATGTCTTGAATTTCTTGTCTATTCTCTATTTGGAATCATTTCGTATTTCTCATGCATTTTTTTCTCCGTTTCTAATAGCTCTTACCGAATACAACCACAAACCAATCAATCTTCATCTGGTTTAAAATCAGAATTATCAACTACAAAAAGTTATACGTTACAATTACGTCCAAATGGTTTAGGTACCTTATTAAAGTCTAATTCAATATCACTCAATAATAAAGTCAAATCATCAATCTGTGATAATAATAATAATAATAATTTACAGAAAAAAGATTATCAACAAAATATAAACTCAACGACTAATGTTACTGCTACGACTATGACTACTACTACTACCCTACCTGATTCATTAACAGTGAAAGATGATCTTCTAGAAGATGGTAATTTCCTCTTTGCTTTATTGTTGTCATCATTATTATGTTTAAAATTTCAATTTTGTAAACTTTATAACTACTTAGTGTATATTGATATGAATTTTCTAGCCAATTGAAAGTTAACAGAATATTTCCAAATGACTTTATAGTGTAGTTCACTTTTCCGTACTACTTTTTGATATCAGTTCATAGAGAATCATTATGTATTAATATGAACCATGTTGATATGTACAGACTGATTGGTTATAGTCCAATCAGTAGTTGAGGATGCTAAGTAACAGCTTAGAAGCAGTCATAATGGTGTAGCTTCTTTTTTTGTCTGCTTGTGAATTTTCCCAAGTAAGGACCGGAGACAGACAAGGCTGTCTACTCTCTCCCTTCCTCTTTCTTCTGGTGATCGACTGGATTATGAAGACCTCGACATCTGAGAGGAAAAAACGGCATACAATGGACAGTTCATAGCCAATTAGACAATTTGAACTTTGCAGATGACCTAGCCCTCCTATCGCACACACACGAACAAATGCAGACAAAGACAGCCAGTTTAGCAACAGTCCCTGAATTAATAGGCCTCAACATACACAAGAGGAAAACCAAAGTTCTCAAATACAACACGGAGAACAGCAATCCAATCACACTTGATGGCGAAACTCTGGAAGAGGTAGAATCCTTCACATACCTGGGAAGCATCATCGATGAACAAAGAAGATCAGATGCAGACGTAAAGGCGAGGACTGGCAAAGCAATGGCCGCATTCCTACACTTGAAGAACATATATAACTCAAAACAACTTTCAACCAATATCAAAGTCACAATCTTCAATACGAACGTCAACACAGTTCTACAGTACGGAGCTGAAACTTGCAGAACTACTACAACCGTCATAAAGAAGGTGCAAGTGTTTATAAGTAGTTGTCTACGCAAGATACTCGACATCCATTGGCCGGATACCATCAGCAACAGCGTTCTGTGGGAGAGAACAAACCAGTTTCCAGATGAAGAGGAAATTAGGAAAACACGATGGAAATGGACTGGACATACATTGCGGAAATCATCAAACTGCATCACGAGGCAAGCCTTAGCTTGGAATCGTGAAGGGAAGCGAAAAAGAGGAAGGCCGAAAACACACTGCATCGGGAAATAGAATCAGATAAGAAAAGGATGAATAACAACTGGAAAGAGCTGGGAAGGATTGCCCAGGACAGGATTAGATGGAAAATGTTGGTGAACAGCCTATGCTCCTTCACGAGGAGTAACAGGCGTAAGTAATTGAAAATTTTCATTATGTCTTTTCGAATCGTATTCTCAATACTTATTCCTTCGCATTATCATTGTTAGTAAATTATTTTCACTCTTTTACTATTTATCTTATTAGTATCATTTCATTGCGACAATGTTTTATGATAAATATGGTCAACTCTTGTTTGATTATGATTGAATATCTTTTCTAATTTCATTGGTCGAGATCATGTGTCAATTGAAACTAGACCACCATGGAAAACCTAGAAGCACTGGACTGCCGTTTCGTCCTATTGTGGGACTGCTCAGTAGTGTACATTCACGATCCCCGCTTCATGAGATTCGAACCCAGGATCTATTGGTCTCGCCCACGAACGCTTTATCTCTAGACCACTTTAACTACTAAACCTTTTTTCTAAGCTTACATTTCATGATATCGTAAAGATTTTACATATTTAAACGTTTATTTTTGACGTAGCTGTATCCACAATTGTTGCTCATTGAAATGTTCTAATTCGCAATACAAATTGATATTCGTTGTACAATAAGTTTAACAAAATGTAAATTGCCTTGAATATGGCACAATATTTTGTCCCTATTAAAAGAAAGTAGATTAACAAAATAAATAAGGTTTATTTTTGCAGAATGAATAGATTTTTATTCAGATCCGTCTGGAGCCTCTCTGGGGTTACTGCCAGTTTCAAGGCTGTTTAAAAGAGAACGGTTGGGCATGGTGTTAACGACTCCATCCCATAGAAAACTAACCCTCTAAAAACGGTAACCAGGAAAAATAATTCAATTTCAAGTGTATTATTTGTTATTTCATTTATTTATAAAGATAGTTTTCATCACAAATTGCGATCAAATAAGGAGAAACATTTGAAAACCACAGCGTATTGAACAGTTATATTTTATTTATTTATTTGAACACATAAACATTGATGCAAGGAGGCACTAAATACATATGCGCCACATAGTAACAATGACGCCAGTAGCAGTACCATTGAGATGTGAGGAGCTGTGTTACTGCCCGAGTGCCCAGATGGAAGCAGATGATTTTTTTAAAGGGCCTCACCCGGTGCCTTCGACCTAAAAGTCTGATCCACAACGCAATGGAACACATTTAGAAGATGCAGTCTCATAGTAGAGGATGACCAATAATTGGTTCAAATGCTTTCTGTTCCTTCAAGATACTTGAGCCCATGTGCACCATTGATTTAGAACCAGGGTTTTTTTAATTCCTCTAGGTGAATCCTCCATATCCCCGAATGCCCTGGTACGACCAAGAGTGGGGAGAGTCCGCTCTCCCTCTCGAAATGCTCTCACATGGCCACGCGTATATAGCCTCTGCCAGGGAAGTCCTACTCACTGCTTTCTCGACAAGGATATGTTGTTTACGAAGTTGAGAAGACGAAAAGTGAATGTCCGGCGCTTTAACTGGGTTGGCGGATATGACGAGTCCACTTATTTATTTATTTATTTGAACACATGAATATTAGTACAAGAGAGCGCCAATATATATATGCCACACAAAACAATGAAAATTCGAAGAGAAGTACAAAAAAAAACTAAGGAGCGCAAAAGAAAAAGAGAACAATAACGAAGAGATTGGTGTAAGGTAGTGTGGTAGTAACGAGGGAACGAAAAGGTACAATCAGAAGAAATCTTTCAGGTAAGGGAGACACAACCACTTTTTATGAAGAAAGTAAAAGAAGGTTACAGCAGGATCGCCACTGGCTTCTATTCTGAGCCATATCTGATAACGTCTCTAGCCACTATGTAGCACCATCTCTCAGACCCCAACCAGGGAGTCGTGAAGGACCGACAGAAGCCAGCTCTTTGCAGCTTTCTTTCATACCACGACACCATGTCATGCACTGACCACCTCTCCGCTTCTTCCAACCAGTCCCAGAGTCGGTAAATAATGCACGACGTGGAATTCTCTGCGACGACATTCGTAGAACATGTCCAAGCCACCGAAGTCGGTGGCTTAGGGAGTTGGAAAACCCTGATTTTAAACCAATGGTGCACATGGGCTCCAGTATCTTGAAGGAACAGAAAGCATATGAACCAATCGTTGGTCACCGGCTACCATGGGACTGCATCTTCTAAATGTGTTCCATTGCGTTGTGGATCAGACCTTCAGGTCGAAGGCTCTGGATGTGACCCTCTAAGAAAACCACCTGCTTCGGTCTGGGCACTCGGTCAATATCACAGTCCTCACATATATCAAAGTAGATTTGTGTGGCGCATATGTATTTAGTGCCTCCTTGTACCCATATCTATGTGTTAAAATAATTATAATTCATTAATCTGATTAAAGCGTTAGACATTCGCTTTTTACCCTCTCATTTTTGCAAACCACAATAATGCCATGAGAAGGCAGTAACTATATAGAATTGGGTAGACTGTTAAAAGCATCGTCTAAACTATTCAACACATTCTTTTATTTTCATTAATACCTTCTAGTTGTTCATGTTAATTCATAATCAAACTTGCATAGATCATCTATTCTTTTTTTTTATTTTCTTAATTATGTTTTATTTTTAGACATGGATGATTTATTATCTAGTATAGCTGATGAAATTCCTTAGTCGCTGAATATATATATATAACATTTAAAGAAACAAATCAAATGGTGATATAATCTATGAAACAGATATAAATGATCTACTCTTTAGTGTAATCTACATCACGATTGGTTCTTCTTCTTTCTTCTTCTTCTCCTTGTTGTTGTTCTTCTTGATTATTGATTATTACTTGACTTATTTGATAAGATTATAATTTATGTGAACAACTTGAAATGAATCTTAAGAGTGTAGCCTTTCATACTATGACTAATAAATAATAAGGATTATAATACAGTTTGATGAATTACAATTCATATTTTACAATTAATAGTTCAAGATTAACAATTTACCTATAGAATTTTCATCATGAATTAATTTCAATTATCATGTCCAGTAAGGATAAATGAATTTCAAAGCCAAAATCTACTCATGTCAATTTGATTGGTTCATTTATAAATTATAATCTTATCAACTATTTACTATATTACGTAATTTGTCATCAGTAAATTCACTTTGTTGTTGCTGGTGCTGCTGCTGCTGTTGTTGTTGTTGTTGTTGTTGTTGCATATACATTCCAATGGATTGTTGATTATTGTACATAAAATGAAATTATTCATCTTTTTCTCTTCATGTATATTTGCATATTATTGATAGTTTAAAATGAAGAATTTTTCTAATGAATAAATAGAAATTTATATTTTGTAAACTTTTGATGAAATTATATTTTGTTAGTTTTTAACCGCCCCTTAACTTTCTTCTTCCAACCATCAACATTTGAACGAATGATAGGGAGTGAAGTAGTGGAGCGTGTCTATTGTTTCACTAATCTTGAGAATCTCATCAACCCTTATGGTCTAGTGTGTGACGAAATCGCAGCAAGGATACAGAAGGCTTGACTAACTTCTGCCAAAACTTGCGTCATTTATGGTGTAGGCGAGATATCCGTCTATCAACCAAAGGACGAGTTTACTGCTCAGCAGTTCGTTCCGTCCTAATTTATGGCAGTGAAACATGACCGGTAAGAGTAGAGGATATTCGTTGGTTACTAGTATTTGATCACAGGTGTCTTCTGAGCATTGCTCGTATATCCTGGTAGCACGGAGTAAGTAATGCAGTTGTTAGGAATCGGGTACTAGGTAAGGATGGCAAATTAATTGATGAATTAGTGGAACTTGATCAGTTGTGATGACTTGGACATGTGTTACGTATGCCCAACGACCGACTGCCTCGACGATTGATGTTTTGTGGTGTAGGAGTATGTTGTAAGAAAGCTAGGGGCGGCTAGACCAAAACATGGCACAAATCGATGAAGTGATTGACAAGTGAACTGAGTCATGTTGGTAGGAGTAGACTATCTGGTTGGGATCCGTGAGAGGATAGCAAGCGATGGTTAGAGAACTTGAATGACACATGGCTCAAAATCGTTTGCAATGGCGCAGGTGTATCGATTCTCAATTCTTCATCTTCCTTATGGTATGGTATGACAACTCGAACTGATGTACGTACGTACAAAGTTCCACGTTGTTTATTTATTTGAACAAAAATATTGATACAAGGGGGCACCAAATATATATGCGCCACACAAAACAATGAGAACGGGAAGAGAAAAAAAGGAAGGTAGTGAGCGTAAAAGAAAACAATAACGACCACAGATTAGTGTAAGGTAGTGTAATAATAATAATAGTAATAATGGGGGAAACGGAAACGTACAATCAGAAGAAATCTTTCAGTTAAGTAAGAAGCAACCATTTTTTATGAAGATAGTAAGAGAAGGTTAGAGCAGGATCGCCATTGGTTTCCATTCTGAGACATATGTGATAACGTCTCTAGCCACTGTGTTGCACCATTTCTCGGACCTCAAATAGGGAGTCGTGAAGGACCAACAGAAGCCAGCCCTTATTATTATTGTCTTTTATCCCCACTTCATGTATCCTTATTTTTCGACTTATTATACAGCAGCTCGCCTATGGTGGAAACTCAGTTGTTATTGACTGACCATCCCCAACATTAGTCAGCATTGCCAGTCAGCTACAACGTAGAACTAGGCACATATAAGCATCGGTCCAAGTTGTCGCAAGATGAACACCAAATTCATATAAATGGTTACTTCAATGTTAGTAATGTATACAAGAAAGATTATATGTAAGGATGTACTACAGGAAAGAAGAATTAGTTTGCAGTCTTTTTTGTATTACATTTTGGTGCAATATAGAATTCTTAGCACGAGGTACTTCAACGAGTTTCTTTTACAAAAAAAGGAATGGGTGATAGAAACGATCTGAATCTGTACAGCTTTTCAATTAGAGATATATTTCAGTATACAGGTTACGGATTAGGTCAACTATAACAAACCGTTCGTCACAATGTATATTTGCTAGATAAGGTATTGTAGAGCTTATATACCTTTGCTTGAGTGTATGAATTTTATTGTATCAATATCTCGTTGTACCAGAAGATATACAAGGAGAAAGATATGTATGAAGGGGATGGTTAGTATCTGATAAGATAACACCTAACAGGAGTTTGCAAGACTTTAAATGTCTATTCACAATTATATTATTAATGACCCCAAAAGATTCACTACACACCTTGCTAACTGCTTTCAGCACTCTACGCAATACAGCAAAGTCTTATCTCAAAAGCCCGTGAAAGAATAATACGTAATATGCAAGAATTGACAAATTGTAAGAGTAAATGTCGAGTAATCTCAAAAGCATGCAGTCTCTTTGTGTAGTAAGTCAGACGGAAAATCCTCTTTGATAACAGTAAAACATGCAAAGACCAAGAGAGATCAGAGGAAAAGGTGACGTCAAGAGAATTGACCTTCAACACTGTTTATCAAACAGTCTCCAATGGCGCAAGTATTATGGGATCCCAACAGGGTAGTTAGGCGCTTTTCATGTCTCAAGCTAAAGATAACAGCTTGACATTTAGATGAATTAAGTATGAAACCATTAACAACAGACCACCATTGAATACGAGACAACAACTCAATCATTTCTATGGAATGTAGTAAGGTAGAAATCGGTATACATAGAGTAAGATTGTCTATATATTTCACAAAGTTATTTTCTGTGGAGGTTGGTAGAAAAGAACAGGTACATTTTATTATAGGGTCTTGTGAAGATTGCTGAATTTTATGTTTTACTTCACGGACTAACTAATGAAAACCACAAAAGCTAAATGACTGAAATTACAAATGTAAACGATTGAATTTCTAAATCAGTATTCTTGTTGCTCATGAACTGTTTGAAAACATATTACGTAATATATGGATTGTAAGAGCTGACATTGAGACGTGTTTCAGCACATTAAGGGGAATAGTTTTAACCTGCATCTTGTAGATTGACTTTCAGCTTTCTAAATGGCTTGGGATCAAATTGTTGTTTGTCCTAACTACATCTCTTTTGTAAGGGCAACGAACTGAGATCCCAGTAAAATGACCAGTGTAAATAGGTTAAAAAGTGCTTTCAAAGATGAACTTTTTCTTGACGGTTTATCACTTAAAAGAAGGTTATATTTGCGTAAGTAGAAACTTCCATCACCAAATGAAATCTCATCTCCCAACAAGTTAAATGGGATAATATTTTTGAAACATACAATTGTCTACATATTCATTCTGTTTGCTTAACTTACTTGTATTGTAAATTTTTAAACTATTCTGATTGATCAATCGGTTGAATGATAAGTGAACGGAAGGTATTGAGATGGTGGAGAAGATATGTAGCTCAAGTGGATGATTTTGATGGAGTTTTGTTCTTTGAGCTGGATGGTTTGGTCGTGGAGCTTTCATCGTTCTTCTGAACGACATCAACCGCACTCAGCATCCGAACCTAAGTCAAGCACAGAAATCAACAAAAGTATCGCCCTACCATACATAAAAGACATATCAGAAACCGCAACGAGACTGCTGAAAACCTTCGGGATAGGTGTGGCACACAAACCGACAAAATCACTGCAATCAATCCTATGCAAACTAAAGGATGAAATAACAAAGGAAGGTAAACCAAACACCATCTACAAAATGAATTGTGCCAACTGCGAAAAACACTACATCGGACAAAGCGGACGCCCCCTTCACGTTCGCCTACATGAACATCAATTAGCAGTCAAACGCCATGATACTTCCTCACTTATATCAATACATGTGGACAACTGCGGACACTCATTCGACTGGAAAAATGTGGAAATCTTGGAGAGAGGAAATTTCAAAAACACTAGGGAATTTTTGTAAACCTGGCACAGGTCAATCAACAAGCACATTGAGATCGATCCAATTTATCAATTAATCAGGAAAATTATGGATAAACATAGGACCGAAATTCAAACCCATGGGAGACACAACCAAAACAAAGGAGTAAACAATGACAAAGTTAGGGTCAATAAGAATCAATCAACGTCGAGGTGTACAGAACAATCTGTGAAACGCATATGGAGAAATTTGAACACTTCACTTCTATCTGAAGTTTGTGCTGATGATGTTCAGAAGAACGATGAATGCTCCACGACCAAACCATCCAGCTCAGAGAACAAAACTCCATCAAGAACGGAAGGTATTCCTAATAAAGGTCTGGAACCTGACTTCTCCACCTCATATTGACATGTATTAATCATACTTTAATTTCTCCGGTAACATATATTACCGGTGAACATCTTTACACTTTCTGCTATCACCTTTATTTCATATCTTCCAATGTGAAAATTATATACTTGTTGTTATATCTACTTGTTGTTTCATCAGTAGTTGTAATACTTTCTAATAATTATTGGATATCGTTTCAGATACTGATTAGCTGAATGTAGTTTTGATTATCCATTATGCAAATCACCTGCTTGGTTAATTGAAAATATCTAAAAGTTACTAGTTATTAGGAATTTGTATTCTGAATTGTTGAAATATTCGGTTATGAGTATGTCAGTCTTTACAGTTTTTATGTAATAATCTACGCCGTCTCAACGATTATAGATACGAACCCAGGATCTGTCGGTCTCCAGCGCGAACGCTAAATCTCGAGACCACTAAG